CATCAAGAGAGACTATGTCTCACATGGCGTTCGCCGACTTCAGACCGACGGTGGACGCAGATATATCACATTACCACAACCCATCGGTGGGGGATTCGACCTTTTCTTGGAGTGACGGTTGGGATTCCGATCATGTACCGGCATCGGGTCGTGTGAGTTTTTCGACCCACTGGTCACAGGAAGCGTCAGGTAACCAGGTCCATCTGTGTTCATTTGGAAAATGAGGACGCCAAATACCCATCCACAGGGGAATTGGCTGAGCATTTTGCTGGGCGTAACGGCAATGCTGGCCCTGAGGAAACATGGCGTGATGTTAGGTCGTTTGTTTCAACAGTGGTAAACACAGCTGGCAGCCTTCACTTGAAGGTTAGCAAAAGTAGTCGTATCTCCGCGACGCCATCCGAAATGATTAATGAGACAAGACTGATTTCAGCTGTCTGGGTCCGACCAAGATGAAGGGCGAAGGCAACTCAAACCTAAGTTGACCGAGAGTTTTCTCATTTGTCGTGAGCCATGATGGGTTGCAAAAACGGGAAAGATGGAGCTATCGGCGTTGGGTAATGCTCAGCAACCGCTTAGGCTTAGTGAGGATACCGGCAAGAAGAAGGCGATGGTCAGAGAAATCATCACCGAGATTGGCTGTACCCTGATAACCACCCAGAACGGACGGCTTAAGCGTCGGGCGGTAAACTTAGAAGCACACTTCGACTGGCCCTCGGCAACGCCATAGTTAGCTAAAATCTAGCCTGGTCATGAATAGCATGTATATATCGGTCCGCCAGCTCCCCTTGAAGTTGAGAAGGCTATGTCGAACCTGAAGCGATGTGAAGCGGCAGAAACTTACAGTCTGCCTCCTGAGGCTTTCAAGGATCGAGGTAGGAGACTGCTGATTAGAATGATAGGGGTACTGCGTAGTGCGTTGGAATCAGAAGTAGTACTGTCAGACTGGTCTAATTCTCTTATCATCCTAGTCTATAAGAAGCGGGAGGAATCTCGCGACAACCATATGGGAACAAGTCCGACTGATACTGTATCAGAGACCCCGAGATCCACAGTTATCCGACTCCTGACTGCAGCCCGAGGACATCAACCCTGGGAAGACCAGTCAGGTTTCAGACCCCAATGCTGGTGTGTCGATCACATTTTTACCTTCCAGCACGTTCTGGACGACAAGCATGCCAACACTTGCCGTATTTCCTGACCAGAAGGCTGCGTTGAACTCCGTCTACCGTGGGGTGTTGTGGCATTGCCTGGCCGTGAAGGGAGTACTGAGCAAGGATGAAATACCGATCAAAGCTCTCCACTCAAACTCAAGCAGCCGTATCGGAACTTATGAAGAGAAGTCTTCAAAGTTGAAGACAACTAGTGGTGCCCACTTCACAGCTGCTGTTTCACTTCGTTTTACACGTAATATTTAACATAATCCTGGCTACGTCTGACTGCAAAGGGATTCAACTACTCCCTGAAGGCCATCCCGTCGACTTAAGGCATGCAGGCGATAACGTCCTGCCAGCTGAAGACGCTGAAAAAGTGCGGGGTCTTCCGGATGCGTTAAGCAGAAACCTGAGTAGTTTTGGCACCTACTGAATGTAAGGCAATGCTCCAGACCTGGTCTCCTGCGAGTGCTGCCACCCTGGTGATAGTGAGCCAAGCGGTGGAATTTGTCAACCGCTTCTTTTCCTCAGAGGGTTGCGTCAAACGAACGAGTTGGCTGCTGACGAAGTCCCACGTTGGATACAGAAGGTCCATCTAACATTCACCGAATCGCGTCGCTTGTGGCATCGATGATATACCCCATTATCCATTAAGAGACGCGTTAATTGCTCCGTGGTCCATTCCATCTTCCTATACACATTTGAGGTACGGCCGTTTAAAAATCGAAGACGTGAAGCGATTGCAGTGTTTAATCATAGACGTCTTTGTACTAGTGGCACACGAAGGGAGGTGGACGACGCAGTTAGGCAATGTGAGATGGATGGAATCAGCGGACAAGGACACGATTTGAAATCGGTCACAATGGCGCAGATGCATTCACTCATCGATATCTTCTAAAACTTCAGTATTGACACTGACCTTTATCTTCGGATCGTTTATTCTTTCACACGAGTTTGCCCACTTTGATATCACTCTTCTTCCATCCAACTTTCCTTTTATGCTACTGTGAAGTTTGTCGACTTCAGCCGATGTACGCGTATGGTAGGTTCTGGGTTGATTTTGTAGCGTCACACACTTCCCCAAAATCAGCCTATCTATCAGTTAATCGTTTGGTCACGCAGTGCACATTTTCAAATATTTTTGGCTGCCTTTTGTGCCTTACTCAGTTAGTTTTTCCTCAGGACAGATAAGTTTCATTAATTTCCTTTCCTGTCTCAGGAACTTGCACTCAGATTTTGGTACTAACCACTGCAACGCGGTTCACCTAGGTTGTCACAGAAATCCCCTGTCAGGTCGACGGGCTACTTTGATGTTGCACACTGTTTCCAATAGGATGAAAACAGGAAACTGCACCAAAACTTCGTAGATCTTACACCTTCAGCCTGAAAATGCGCGACAACTCATAAGGTATTCCGCCGTATCTGCCACGCTGCTAGGATGATCATGGGGTGGTTGCCGCTAAACCACTTTTGAGTGCCGTCCAGAATTACTGTACCGAAGACACTGGGTCTGTTGATAAGCAGTCTGCTGTGCGCAACCCCAAGAATTTTCTGAAGCTAACTTAAAGTTGGGCTAGGAAAATACACGCTAGATATGATGTGGATAACTTTCGAAAGGCTATGTACGGCAAGCGCCAGGGGGTTTCTTGGGGTTCTTGAGTCCCCATGGGCAACAACTTTAGTCTGAGAACTGCTTGTTGCATGACCGAGTGAAATGATACGAGTGTCACCCAAAATGTGTGTTTTTAAACTCTAACTCGATCTACTTACCTATCCGGTAGTGGCGTATGCACCAAGGGAGAACACACGACAACCCGAATCTATCAGTCGAAAGGCCAATGGAATAAAAACTGACTGACTTCCCATCCTGACGTGGTAGAAGGTTTTGTAAACAAGCTACCACTGGAACATGTATCGGCGATCGCCCAAATCAACAAGCGTCTAGGGAAACTTTGTGAGTCATACGAATGGTTTCTTGATTGGTGGCCACTTTCGATGCTCGTTTAGCTGAAATTCCTAATCCTTTCATAGTATTGCAAAATGATACTAAACTGCTACACTGACCCTACCGGCGTAGAACAAAGGTAGATTTTCATGAAACTTCCACGCTTTGCCCTCGGAAAGTCTTTCTCAAACTATTAAGTAACGGGTGCTGAACCAGCTTTTAGATAGTCTCGAAGTGTTCTCTTGTGGATAATAAGGCTTGAAAGAGTTACACCCACAACAATCTTCACCGGAGTAAGGCCTCGGACAACTTACATGAGGTTCAAAGTCACCGATTACTGCCAACGAAGACCATAGCGAGGCACTTCAGCTGGGCAAGTCATGCCCCAATTTATGAAATGCAGTGTTAGAAGCTCTCACTTTAATTTCCTAACGATCCTTCACATGCAAATGACTGAAAGGGACATTTTCAAATCGTTGCTGTTGACAGCACTGCCATCTCGCGAACCACAAACGGGCATATTCGGAATAACAGTAGTGGCCGGCAATGGAGTTCAGGACCCAAGTTCCGTCCCATTCGGGAGTCGTCAGTTGGCTGCACCTGACCTCCAGTGAGCGATAATACTCCCAGTAAGGCTCGAACCAGGGACCGGCCGCTTCAAACTCCACAGCGCTATTCGTCAGGTCACTGAATCACGATAGCTGCTTCTCGCCCAGCGGGTGTAGTCTGTGCAGTGTCGCTTGTATTACCTTGTCACTGATTGTGCCAAGTCGGTTGGTCTTTATTGATATGCGGGCACCTGAGCCGATGCTGCGATATTGCCCGCACTTTTTGCTCTAACATAGATGACAGATAATGCCTAGCACTGGAACGCAAAACGGTAAGTGTCATCCCGTTTGGGAATCGATCAACCGCGGCCGGAGTAGCCCAGCGGCAACCTTGTTCACCACAACACTGGGTCATGTGGTTTGGAACCCGAGCGGGACACCAGTTTTGCAAAGGGTGCAAATGCATCCCTGCAGGCAAGTGCAAGCAATTAAGAAGGCCAGATCTAGGGCTTCCTGCTGACCACCTCCAACCCACTGACGTCAGTTCGGGAGCAGTCAGCCGACGTGCCTACACCCTAGTGGGCGTTATTGTTCCTAAAGGGAGTCGAAAACGGGGCCAGCAGCTTAAAATGCAAATCGTTATCCCCTAGGTCAATGAGTCACTATAGCCAGTCCTTGTGCAACAGATATGGTATAGTTCTGATGTTATGGCTTCTAGTCTTCCGTCATCATCATCAAGTTGTCAAATACTGAAAATGTCGTGCATAGATGGAGGGGCTCATTAGCTCATATGGTTCGGATCGATCAACGAGGAGGAATTACGAGCTTTGACAATAAATCGTATCCAAGATTCCGAAGGTGTCTTACTCATTCTGCGGTGACGGTTCTACATGGAAGCTAAATAGCCAAAATTAAATGGTAATATTTTTTTGTCAGATATGGAGCAGAACAAAATCACCTCTTTCCTCCTAACTTGCAATTGCGGCGCTTGTTGGCTTCATCCATGACGAAATTAACTTCCAACTACATCACTTTTAAACTTAATCTGCATTGCCAACCAGTCTACCTACTTGATGACTGAATGATGAAAGTCACAACAGCCTGCAAGATTTGATATCTCATACGATATCAGAGAGCTTTCAGCTGACCAGTATTAATCTAGTTGTTCAAGAGAAGGAACACAAAGAATAGTAACGGCAGAAACTTATAGTTAGCATGCCGAAAAACTTATTGGAATGACCGCGAAAATTACGCGCACACAGATTGGCACTGAGAGATGATCGATATATGGTCATGTGAACATATACAAAATCAGAAACCTCTTAAAAAGCAACAGTTGCATTTCAAAGGATCATGAGGCTGCAGTGCATTCTGAAGCTAACTCAACCTCTGCTGGAAATATGTGTATTGGACAAGGTTTTGAAAGTCAATTTGGTAAACATATTCGAAAGTGAGACGAATTAAGTTTTCTAGCTTTGACTATGTTGGACTACATAGACAATTTGTCCGGATGGTTGAAACATAAGCGTTACAGCAGTTCTCGTATTTGCTTTTCTCTACCGACTTACTGAAACAGTTTGGTAGGTTAAGAGGTATAACTAATGCATATGTTTGGATGTTGGTCTTCAGTAGTTATTAATATAATATATATTATATATATATGTATATTTTTCTCAGCTTCTGATTGTTATACATAAAGCATGGCATGCTATTGGCTTGCGTTAATCATTGTAATAGTTAAATCTGTGAAGATCTAGTTTGTCATCGAGTGTATCAACCGAGTGATCCGCTGCACCTTTTCCCAGTAGCTAGTTCCAGTTGTTGACCACTCTATGGCAGAACTGGCTCTCCAGTCACAGACTGTTTGAGTGAATTTTATTAATTTTTTTTGGTAGCCTCTTCAGTGATCACTTGTAGAGTTAAATCAGACTACATAATATTAGAGAGCTATCTAATTCTGTCGTCTTTGAGCGAATACAAAATGACCGTGAACACATCGATGAGAATGCGTATGCCTATTTTATGATTGGGTCACAAAAGAATTAATGTAAGCTACGCTGGATATAGGTTTCCGCACTTAGTTGAGAAGCTTACGAAGGTTTTAGACTGTTTCACATGGTCTTAATTCGAAATAGGTTCGACAAAGAAATTTGTCCAGGTGACTCCAGAGCCATCTATCTCGACTATTTCACCTTTATTACCTTGAGACTGTAGTCATTTCGGAGAGCGTTTAGGAACGAATGTCCCCACATTACTGATAGCACTGTACAACTGTCATCTCCGTCATACTCACCAACGTTCCTATGCCTGTAACTTATGTGCCGGTTTTTCCCCTCTGCGAAAGACAATATAATTTTCTGCAGTGACAAGTTAGGTTTCGCAAAGAAAAAGCCCGTGCAAATGGGTTTGTGGCTCCAGCATGATATGCATCAAATCTCAACTCCATCCTTCAGAGTTGCATGAGAACTGCAGCGTGATCCTATCACAACTTCATCATCCGCCACATATGGCTATCTTTTCATCTAAATTCTCCATAAACCTGTCGATAATCAGCGATATTCTTTCTAGAATAAACCCCTTAAAGAACGATTGCATAGTTTTTGAACATCATCTGCCGTCGGAAGGTCATTGGGTATTCGTTTGAGGGTGACAGCATTCTGTAGTTTTACCGGCAGTACCTAAGTCATTATGATCGGAAAGGCTAAAACTAGACTACTTTTCCTGCGATAGGGACAAATTCTGTCTTCGCAGGAAAAGTGGTTGAAACTTGTCACTGTTTTAGTGGAAACCCTTTGAACTTGTTCTACTGTATCAGTTTCCTTTTTTAAGTATCGACTGTCTACCTGGACACAATACTCTGAATGAGACCTTACATAAATTGTTGTAGAATCCTGAACGTTTCTTCATGAGATGATTTGAATGTTCTATCAGAGTATATGGAACGTTGTAATTGTGAAGCCATCAAAGTTCTCAGTGGTATTAAGTTCGTGACTTATGGTAACCTTTAAGTCTTTTTGTTCCAAAACTCGAGGTATTGGTTGATCATCCTCTGAATACCCGGCAGATTAGTCACTCTCAATATGCATTCCTGCGATTTTACTGGAATTGGTTTGCAGACTCCGTCGTTTAAACCATTCAATCAAAGACCGATATCAGCTCGCTGTACAGATGTATCATCATGAATGATCCTCTATGTCTTGACGTCATCAGCAAATGGCAGTGATTGTTAGCAGAGCACCTTTGCCTTTAGTAATTCGTCAGAAATAAAGCATTCGATTCGCTCGGATTTTGCCTCACCTACTTTGTCGTGGCATATTCGGTAGTATCACAAACCCTTCAACCTAAGACGTAATTCATAGCCTAGTACTGAACTTTTACGGTGTAGAGTTGCATTATGTGAATTAGAACATTCACTGTTTATTGCCAATTATTATCATTATTATTGCAAACATCCTCAAGTCCACCTCTATTGATAACGGTTGTTGCTATCACTCGGTGCATCATAAATATGATCAAACCTCGGCAAGTAAGATCACAACAATTTTTTATCTCCTGGAGTCACTCTGACCAAGCAGCTGCCAAATTAAGAAGTCAGGATAATAAGTTGCACTTGAATTCATCTAGTCGTATAGAAACTTCTAGAAAGTTCTCTTCCGACCTCACAACCTTACTATGTCTACTCCTGTCATTTCTGCTTAACGCTTTTTATACGTTTAGTAGTGTAAGTGTTTTTCTTAGGTATTCAAGTATTATTCTCCTTACAAAACTGCTGGCTTGCCAAGATTACTAAGATATTCAAACTCTATTATACGAGGACAAAAGGCATGATTCTGTAAGGGTCTTGAGGAAACTCCTGGAGGCATTTCGCATACATTTCACAACTATCGAGGGTAAGATGATGACGGTCGCCGCTTTATACTCAGTATCTTAGCAGGGTTCAAACCCCACTACTTTGCTTTGACGTAGGTGCCTAGTATTGAAGACCTTCAAATTCCATGAAACAATCTATTAGATATACAAACACTTGTTTGGTGATTTGTACTGAATTTTCGTAATATCTGGATATTACAGATATACCACGTTATTTGACCATGTTGATTGAGAGGTACTATTGCAGTGTCTCTCGCTACCAGGGGTGCTGAGTAAGTACATCACCGTGTTAAAATTTATATACTTGAATACCCGTGACTGTGTTAGAGCCTATGGTGAGTTATCAGGTGAGTTGTTTACATCAAGTGACGTTCGTCAAGGATATCCACTGTCTCCGTTCTTATTCGACTTTATCATAGACGTAATTTTGCAGGTCGCCTCGCTTGCCATCTGACTTTGCAAGAATTTTTGTATTTGCAGGAGAATCTTTAGTATATCTGCAGCACGCGGACGACATTTATGTCAAATGAAGTCGTTGACAAGATGCAGAGCTTTCTGAACAACTGGAGAGGCAATTTCAGAATGTTTGGGATGTGTTTGTCTCTACCTTGATGCAGTTTGTTTCTTCAGAACTGGTCCTTTCTGGTGTCTTGTTTAGTAATTGGGATGAACACATTGACAATTCACTCACCTAAGAAGTCCAATCAGCCTTGGGGTTCAGCGATCGACAAAATCTCTGTGCGCATCCAAAAGGCTTTATTGGCTTTCACCGTTTGTGCTGCCCCCATGATATCCGATTGTCTATTGAGGACACTGTATTGTGATGCGGTTCGCTCTGTTTTATTATACTGCTGTGAAACATAGCCAGTGAAGGTAGAGGACATGAGAAGGGTTCTAGTGTTTGATCACCGTTGCCCTGGTAGCGTAGGCCGTGTATCTCCACTTGACTAACGTATATCAGATGTGAATTCCTAGGTAAAAAAGGCAAGTCAGTTAGTGAGATAAATTTACGCGTGTTACGCATGTCTAGTTATTTTCTACCTCGTTGTGCGAGGTATGCTGAAGTAGATTTAAGCTGAGAAAAAGGTTAGAGGTAGTCATTGGTTTGGGCACTCGACAGTCAAATAGTGAACCAAGAATTCCAGCACCGCTCCACATATCAAAGTCTGAGAAGCCAAGTAGTATTATTGGCAGTCGCATGATAGGGATGGCTTATTGCCTACTGCATGGAGATTCACATAGTTATGGAGCGCTTTTCGATTTCCTGGACTAAGACGTCGTATCAGTTCATATCTGTGAATGTTGGTCTAAGGTGTGGAAACAAATGTAGATTTCACGGTTGAGATCTACATGATAGCCCAATCTATGGTTGTAGACCCCAAGTGATTTGTCTCAGAATCGATCCGCGTGTCGAGCGTCATATCACATCTAGTGATTTGATTTACCATCTCTTATCTTCGTATGACTTCCTAAAAATCAAATTGTTTGTTTTTTATCTTTCATCTTATTGCCTTCTATCTCATTTCGCTAATTCGAGGTGTAGTAATTTGAAACGTTACGTAGTGATGTCAAGCCACATGTTGATATTGTTTCCGTCTGTCTCCGGCCATCTTATTCAATTGTCCGAACATCTGTTGCGCATGTTGACCCACTGCCTGCCTCGACGTACAATATTCGCCGAAATAGGGTTGCGTTAAAGGAAGGCTCCGTTGTCAAGACTGAAATATGCCACCAGTCCGTGAAACCTTTGACTACTTATTGATCTAATTCGTGTAAACTGCCTAGTTGAAGTGGTTGAGATGGTAAGAATGAATGGTTGGAGACTCTTACAAACATTGTTGAAAACGGTTACAATGGCGCAGATGTTCTCACTTCTTGACGTCTTCTGAGGTCCTAACATCTTCATTAACCTTGATCTTCATATCCTTTTTCATCCCATACAATTTCGTCTATTTTGATATCACTCTCTCTTATCCATTTGTTCTTTGTATGCTGCTGTGAAGTTAAACATCTTGAACTAATGTACTTCTTTCTGTTCAAGGTTTTCACATTAAAATGGTGGAGAATATTTGTGGCTCAGGTGAATGGTCTTGGTTGTATTTTGTTCTCTGAGCTGGGTTGTTTTCACGTTAACATTGTCTATCTGTGTAATTACAACTGTTACCTTAAGGAAACGTGGCTTTATTTTCCGAGATCAGTTTTCTACGCTTTTTGCAGAACTTACGAGTTAAGAAGGCGATCAATATTTTATACGCTGCTGTTAGCAGACTGATTGCTCCATGATTATCATACACAACAGGCACTCTTTTTTAGGATGGTTACGACAATGGCTTCCTCAAAGTCTGCTTTCCCTTGCCGAACAATATACCCAGTTTCCTGGCTGCAGTTTCCTCATCATCTCTATGGAGTGCAGGGAGTACTTTGGTTGGAGTGCATGCCTTATGGACCTTCCTTAAACCTCCTTTTGTTAGGTTGGTAGGTATTAACGAGTCATAAGCTCCAAGACTTCGAAATGCAATTCGTCTGACCTACTTACTACAGTGACAGTGATCTTAAAGCGCTGCGCCCAGCGTTCTATCCGTCTCCAAAAGTTGTGGATTGGCGCACCACCTACTTCACAGACCGTCTCACTGACACCAAGTACTTGGTTTCCTAGTCCAAATGTAACATAATTAGATCTAAATTCAAAACTTTCCGAAAGGTCGTGTGTAACCTGCTTTAAGCTTTCATTGCCTTTCTAGACAATGAAAGCTTAACGAATAAACCATCCATCTCAGAGAATACAGCACAATGAAGGATTAACGTTATGTTGGATATAATTTCATTGGTATACCATCTTTTTGTTTTCATTAGCTGTGTATTTCATTCAATTTATTTGTTTTGAAGTCCCATCTATTTTCTTCACAATTAGGCTTTCCTCAATGAAACGTTCAAAGCCAGAAAGGGAATTAACTGATGAAGAACGCAATGTTGTGATTTCAGTACGTCATTGTGCCCGTGAATTGGATGACATTTTACAAGGTGCACGCAGAAAAGCCCAATCAAATGCAAAATTGTTCTCAGAGACAGGAATTAGTATCATGTTTCGAGCTGTTGAATCTTATGCAGATATGTATGAAAAACTGGCAATAAAATCAAGAGATGCCTTAGAAAGATTATTCTCTAAATTCTCTGAGTGTGAAGAAATTCAGGATACTCAAGATGCGATTGAAGAAACTGAAGGGAACTGGAGAAATTTTCTGGTTAATCTTGATAAGGAAGTTACTCGTGAGGAAAGTCATAACAGTGACATCGAGTCGGTGTCAAAAACCAGCGATCCTAACGTCCAATGTGATTACCTATTCCTACCATCTTTACCACTTGTTGATTGGCAAACCAATCGTGAAACTAACTTACAAGACTTTGTTCGACAATATATCTGTCTTGTAGTGATTTGTCAACCTGCGTACTGGCCGGATACTGCTGTAAGATGGCGCCATTCTGAAGTTTTAAAAGCTCAGGTGCGTTTAAGCCTTAGGAAAATTTGACAAAAATATCTTGGATACAACTTTAAAAATAATTTCGAGTTAGTATTCATCAAGGTCTGACATCAGATGAAAAAATATGCAAAACCTGTGAGCAGTAGACAGCAGTTTCGTCCTAGCATCGGGCTCTCCAGCAGTCTCTGCCGATGACACTGACAAGGATCGAACTTAGAACCTTCAAGTATCGTGACAAGCACGTTTCCTTTGAGCCACCGGGTTATAGTTCAGGGATCCACATATTTATACCTCTGTCTATTCACGTTATAGTGTGATCTTTATCTAATACCATCGTTGAGTATTTGTCCTCACGTCCGATTTACTTTGCCTTATCGACCCAGTGGCTCAATAGTGGCGTGCTCGCTGCGAAACCTGAAGGTTCCTAGTTCAGCCTCTGTTAGCTTCATAGGTGCGCACTGCTGAGGAGTCCCATACCACGAGGAGACAGCTGTTCAGTATTCCCAGGTTTTCAGTGATCCTCCAAGTAGTTTCAGTCCTCGATGAATACCGAATTGAAACCCATAAATCCCCCAAATCTCCAAATTGAGAATGATTTTACTGTAGAGGTTTTATTCGCTCCCATTCATTAGGTGTATTAGGAACTTAACGTTTTCAGTTCAGACTGACATTTCTGATACCAGGAGTCCGATTTCCCATGTTCTGAAGTATAAAGAAACTGGATATAGAATATGATAAAAATCTACCAAGATATCACGTTAAGATGCTATCTAGATGTCAGTATATAGTAGGCCTATTGGAATCTGCATTTGATAAACCGACTCAATCTAAGTGAGTAGTAAAATATAATCTGAAGATTGTTTTATCACAAACTGTTATTTTTGAAAGACCACAGAAAACTGAAAACTACTGTATGAGCCTATCACGTGGGTGTGAAAGTCATCAGTCTCCGTTGTTGATTTTAACGGTTATTTAAAGTTCAACAATTTTTCATGCAAACCATAATTGAGTTAATCATAGTTCTTCAAAAGTCCTCTGACTGATTGAGTGTATTGGCTTTAAAAAGAGTGAAAACCACAAGTTTTTAAGCCATTTTTTTCTGAAAACCCAATAGGTATACTTAAATATGAGTCACAGTTGAACAGAAGTATGGATTCACTATCCGCCTTCCTTGTGGTCTTGAGTCCATACTTACTCTTTATCCATTTTTGTATGTTTTTAGTGTACTGTGACATCTTTCTACTTCTGCTAACTTTTTTTTCTCTGTGGTTTTGTGACCTGCAGAAAGTCGAACTAACTCATATGTGTTGTTACCTCTACCCACCTGTCTGCTAATAGTAGCCTTTTTAAAGATTAAGCTGCCAAAGCTCCGATAGGAATTGTCGACTTTTAAAATTAGCGAAGTTATGACTTTTTCGTATTGTGAGAACGAATGAATCAGTGGCTTATTCGTGGATTTATATATACCACTCAAATACTCAAAACTAACACAAAACAGTTATCCCGTATTCTTCATTAGATATTCGACTAGCTATGGTTTGGATCGATCGTATCCGTATGTTATTCGTAATAAATCACGTATATAATATTTGTTTTGTAATTGTTTCAATATTCGTAGTTAAAATTGTATTTCAAGTTTTCACTGGGTAACTAAATGCTCAACCGTAAATTTCGATGTCGAAATCTAGTTGCATGGGTAGATATGGTTTAGGGAGCTGATTTTGAACCAGTCAGTCACAGGTTCGACTATCGCTCCACCTACCAAGGCTTGGGAAGCCAGGTAGTATATCATTAACCCTTACACAGTAGGTGTGGCTCATCACCTACTGCACGAATGTGCAAATGGTTCCTGAGTAAGATTTCGATTTTCATGCTAGATCTAATGAAAAGCTGTGGTTAATTCTTTAGATATCACTACTAACCTTCTAAATCTAACCTTTATTAGTGTACTCTCGTTTTGTTTTGAACAAAAAGATATGTTTTTTGCTGAAAATTTCAACATCCCCTGCATCGTTTTCGGTGTACAAATAGTTATACTTCATAATTATTAGCCATCATAGTGCAAAACTATTCAGTTTCTTTTCCATATAGATTCCAGCCTAGTAAGAATATTACATTTGGAGTATACTCGAAGAAAATGAGCGCATAAACGTGTATATCCTTCTTTGTTTCTTTTCTTTAATTTATAATAAATCGTAAATCTTGTCTTAAATTTTATTTTAGTGTGATCTTTCTCAGTTCAAAGTTGGCTATGCAGTTGTTACATGGGGTCCTCCAGAAGCAGTACGAAATTGGTGTAAGCAAGTTTCTCGAATTACAAAATGGCCAGTTTTTTGGGATAAATCTGGTGATTTTCGAGCTAAAATTGGATTTAAATCAGGGTTACAACGTGTTAGTTTAATAATCCTCTTTTTCTTATTTACTTCGGTATGTATATAATGTTTTGCAAAGAATATGCTATAAAGACATTTAAGTAGTAATAGGTAGTTTATGTTGGGTGATAATCGAAGGTGAAATGAAAGTTTGAACCGTGGCCGGATTCGAACCAGCTACCGCCGGGTTCCCGGCCCGATGCTCTACCAACTAAGCTATGAGATCCAATCATCACCAAGCATATAAATACTAGTCTGCCAAACTACGGCTATCTCAGTCAAAATGATAATAGATAGTTGTATTTATTATCATAGTACCAATGGTAATTTGAAATGTAAAAGAAACTGAGCGGTAACAAAGTGCATTATATCATGTTTTAAATTGCTCACATGATATATATGACCTGCAAAGGAATATGAAATTGCTAGCAATAAGGAAAAAAACAAAATAGATAATGCATTATACTTGAAAAGGTCATTCATGTGAAATTATTATTATTATCATTATGAACTGAATCTGCTATGGAAATGTAACGAACTAACTCCGAAAATTGTTTTAAAACTAAAGAAACAAAATATTCCAAGGTTAATTTAGAAATGAGAAGAAGACAGTTGAAAAAGATGTTTTAATCAAAGTCTAGGGGAAACACTGTATTCATTACTTTTAAGCATATTTCTGTCTTTTAATTAATAATGATTAAAAACGTCAACTTTTTCAAGAAGTTGAAAATAGAGATTTATCGAAAGAATAGGGCGAATTCGAGTAGAAGGCTTAAAATTATTACTTCGATTAATTGAGGTGTTGAAGGTTATGACTCCTAATCGACTTCCTTTTGCTGATGTTGAATCATCTTTGAATATTAATTGGAAAGTGACCAAAATACAAATCAAGTTATTGTTCAGTAAGGTAGAAGTTTTTGGGTAAATCCATAATCATTGAACAAATTGGAAGTTTAGTGAATTAATCAGAATAGTTTAATGATTCTTTTTCTTCGCTGAATTTTATGTGCATGAAAATCATACGTATGTCATGCGTTTTCGCCTAACTAAACTCTCTCGTAGTTAAAAACCAGACCTTGTCTTCGTATACTTTCACTAGAAACAGTTGTTCGTGTACTGTTCGAGTATATTCGTCTATTTACTACCGTTGTGTCACTTACTTAAGCTCATAATCCACTGGGCTACTGCAAATATGCACTACTGTACATGTTAAAAGATTTTGTACAACTGATCTACCATACACAACAGCCGCATATACAGACAATAAGTTTTTTCAACTGGTAGTTTGTAAGGATTCATCGGTTCCAAGGTAGTTTTCATCACGAATTAATATGATCTTTGGAGAAATATTAAAAAACTGAGAGCATTGAACAGTTGTTTCGTCCTAGTTCTTGGCCCCTCAGCAACGCGGCCACAATTCAAGACTCAACCAATCTTTGTCTTCGCATTCGACTTGATTAACTCCACAGTTCATGGCTTGTCTTTAGAACTTCGAGTAGTGATTAAAAACCTGTGGATATACTTGAGCTATATCTAGTTGATTCCGATTCAAGCTCTGCCTCTATTATTTCATTCCTGATGTCGCCTGAGGATGTAGAAAATTCCCCAACGGTTATGCAGAATAATATAAGCATCCTCGACTTAGAGGTGATAAATAACCATGCATTTGACAAAGAGCTAGATGAAAATGATATGCAATACAGTGCAAAATATCCCTATACATCGAGATAATCCAGAGACAACTTGTATGAATTCTAATGCTACTTCTTGCATTCCTGAACTTTCGGTGTTGAAAAATGATTTCTTGCTTGACAAGAGGGATTAGGAGCGTATACAGTTGAATGCAGATGATGAACTAATAGAAACCAAGTCAAGAGTACATCTGAACTTCAGTTTAGGTTCACCAACCTCATCTCAGCTGCAGACACGGATCATATTGCTGTCAGTGATCACTGAAGAGGGTCGATGGAAGGCTGCCTATCCTTCTGGAGCATATGTTTGGATAGCGAACACGCGTGTAAATTGATGCGAAAAATCTACACCAGCAAGATCATTTTGAATGCTGACTGACATTGTAAATACTAATGCTGCTTTCAACGATGAAACAGCATCACTCATCTAGAAGAAGCTTTGGACCATCTCCAGTCTGTTGTAAAAACAATGATGAAGAAAGTGGTGAGAGTCACTGGATCTCAACAGCTTATTCTGAATAATTGAATGTACATTAACCCATCCCTTCAGCCTTCGACCACAAAGCAGAGCGGGAACAACCCAAATGTAGAACGATGAAAAGTGTACTTAATGGTCACAAGCGGTGATGAGAAGCTAAGACTAAGGAGATAAAAAAGCAATAGCAATATGTAACAATAGACAATTATGTCGACTTATCAAAAAAGGTGGAGCAAGGGAGTCAGTGGTTGGTAAAACTGGTGAAGAAGGATAAGTCTACAATTCACTCACAGAGGAGACGACTGGAACGACGAGCAGACCACTTCGAGGAGCAGTTCAGCTAGCTTCGAGCCACAGTCTCTTTGCCCTCTATACAGTGAGATCCTGAATGAAACATCGGGATAGAACCCTCAATACTTGCAGAATGCCAAGATAGCTGTAGGTAACTCGAAACAATGAAGCCCAGCAGCGCCAAATGGACTAGTACTGAAGGTATTTAAGGACGGTGGTCGAGAACTATTGATCAGGTTAAATGAAGTGTTAACTAGCGTGTGGGAGTCAAATATGATCCCTCTCTGACTGATCTAATCACTGGCTATCCAAGTTTTTAAGAAGGGAGAAGAATCCTTAATTATAAGAGTAAAACTTGGGCACTGTGGTAGATTGTTGTTCCATTTTAGTCTATTTATTAGAAATGTCACACAGTGAAACAATAAACAGTAAATGATACTGTTTTACTGTGTGCCATTTCTAATAAACAGACTAAAATGGAATTACTATCTACCACAGTGCTCCAGTTTTACCCCTACATTAATGAAATATATGGTCTTCCTGTTCGAAGACTCATCAACAGACTCACACGACTTTCACAGACAGAAAGTAGATAGGCAAACCACCGTATATTCAATATTCAATGTCTTAGAAATCAAATCATTCCTTAATATCTACGTCTACGTGCACTAATTCCAACAGACGAAAGTCAAAGCAGCTATATGACGGGTCAGTAAACTCTGTCTTAAATAAGAAATTCATAGAATTGTCAAGAGATCGCACAACATCTAGAATTATATCGAAGAACTTAAATGTAAGCTGATACAAGATGTTAGTGAAGAAGACTATGAGCTTCTAGTGGACAATTGCAGTAAAAGATCAGCTGCATTCAAGAAATTCAAAACTGCTCAAATTAAGAAGTTAAAAAAATTACCGAAGAATAGTATCAAGTCAAAAACAATGGAATTAACAATAGCACATCACCAGTAATCGATAAGTCAAAGTGGGTTGTCAGTCTCTCAACTAGAGTCTTCAACAGAAGTGAAATTGCTGGAGAAAGGCCTTAACTTCAATGTAGCGGTTAATGAACTGAAATTAGATATCATTCCCAAAATAGAAATAGCGTTAAGTTCAATAGATAAGACAATTGCAAATGAGGTAAGAGCATGGTATTGTCTAACCCTGAAACAATAGAAAATAAAACCTAATTTACTTAAACCAGAAGGAGAAGCTCTCAGGAACCTTCGAAATGATGACATAGTTGCCAGATCGGATAAGGAACCTCAACAGATGTAAATCCAGTAAATGATACTGTTTTATTGGGTGATATTTTTAATAGATATGCTGAAATGGAGAAGAATCAGTATGACAAAGATAGTATCTAAGATTCTAGGTTCTGTGACCACTAGGTGCCTGAGTGAAGCTTAGGAACAGAAAACGCGAGAAGAACAGGCAGTTTTTAAACCTGGCCGTTTGTGTATCGACCAGATATTCATTCACTGTCTGCAAAGTAGATGTGATGAGTTATCAGTATAGGCGATATCTAGTCATGTCTAACTGTTCTCTATTGGTTATAATTGTTCTGTTACTTTGACTAATACTAATACTATAAGTCTACTGGTTGTACAATTAAGCTCATGGTATTGTAACCATGTTATTATGAGTACAAGTATTTAATACCGTGGAATTGGGGTTTGGTGGATTGGTTTTGGGACTGTGTGAATTATACCTACTACGACTACAATCCTTGTTCTCCTTGCATCATTTCAGAGTGCTACATTGAGTGAGTACAAAGTGTGAATTAACCAATTCACAATTCAATTTTGAAGAGTTATGCACACTCTGTGAACCTTCAAAAATCAAATAAACCCGCTTATCATTCTATCTTAACATGTTGTCTTGGTAATACCATCACAATTATGACCATTTTTTTAATCCACTATCTAGATTTCATTACATTTTAAAAGTTGCTGTATAGTTAAGAACATTTATAAGTACAATTGTAGTAGTTATTTCTCATTCCACTCTTTTACTAATTTCTACTACTTTTGATCGATTCTTGTTTTTCCTTTATCTTAGCCTTTTCTCTTTATGTGCTGATATGAGTTGTAGCAACTTGGAACGTTATGTAGCATAAGGGCTGGTCCTATGTTGATGTTGGTGATGACAAGTGTAGTTTATCAATTAGGGTACTCATCCATTTTTGTACTAATAGCCATTTAGAAAAAGCACAACTGTTTATTGGATTTCATTTCATCAATTTATAAAAAATCCTCTACTGTAACTGGATTTTTGTTTTCATTTTATCATCTTATAAGGATGGGTAGTGGCTAACAGCGTAATCCAGGGCCCGCGTTTCGTCCCATTTGGCACTCGTTGGCTGGATGTACCTGCCTCTCAGTGAGTGATGCGGTTCCTACTAAGAACATCACGCAGTGAGGGGTAGTTATATCCAGCCGACGAGTGCTAAATAGGATGAAGCGCGCGTCTTGGATTCCGCAGCTAGCTACTATCCATCATTAATATAGGACCGAAACACAGGCAGTATCGAGGCATACGTGCCGGGGCCCGTCCTCCAATAGAGACCGATCAATTTGGTCCAATCAGTGACCGGATAATACAAGCAACAACACATTTTTTAAAGAATTACACTTCGTGGCGCTTTATAACCTCGTTTTTTCAGTTAATGTCTGTGAAACTAATATGGTAGGTTTCGTAGTGTACTGTTCTGAATTTCACACTTGAATGATGTAGGCGTTAACTTTGACTAGTATGATATGCACGCATATACAGGCTCCTGCAGTATGCAATGGGACTACACATTCCCTCAGGAGTGAACCCGCCAGACATGGCGTTTGCGAAGCAGAGTTCAAACCTATCACTTGTTGGTTTATGGTTGGGTGCCTGAACAAATAAACGACAGTGAATAAGTAGAACTGACTCCTTCAGTATCTTATTCCTTTTAGTAATGTTTAGTCTACATGAAACCTAACTTTACACTTTATTTCATGCTGCGATAGGTGTCGATACATTCACACTTCGGCATAAGGTCGAACGGAAATTAGTACACATTTGACTTTTAATTTAGATTATTATGTAAATTGTATGATCTGTTCATTCACATATACGCAGATATGGGCTGCTGAGAACCTGGATTTTCTTGGTTGTCAACGTTCAATGCATCACCGACCGATTAATCCACCACCAACTGATCTCAATTGGTCACAATGGACACAAATCGGTGGTGAACTGGTTTTGGCTCAACCTGTATTATGGGATCCTACAAAAACAATGAAGTCACAAAAATATACAAGTACATCTCAACCAGGCACAAAACGCAGGTACACTACTAGCGATAGTGACGATGAAGAAAACAAATCCAGTGAAGGTGAATCTCACACGGGATCACTAAAATCTTTAAATCAAGAAGCGCTTCAGGATAAAGAAGCAATGAATTCAAATCAGACAAAAGTATGTACATTGCATTTAAGTACTCGCATTTCTGATCTTATGCCTTCTGGTTCGATATATCAAGCTGCTTTAACATGTTACGCTCGTGCACATAATACTACTGAAAGTGAGGTTATGGATGTAATCAGGAGGGATCGTAGGTTTTCTACACCACCTGAATCAGCTCGATTACAATACGAAGCAACTACAGGCTTATATTACGATCCAGAGACTGCTCTGTATTACGATCCACAAAGGGGCTACTTCTATGACTCATCAAACCAAATGTATTACTACTGGTCTCAGTCTGAAGTCCGATATTCCCAGCTAATACATTAATCCAAGCTGAGCTAGCTGCTGCACAAGTAGCTCAAGCAGCGGCAGCACAGGCTGCTGCTGATAAAGCTGTCGCTGAAAGAGAAGCTGCTAGAAAAGCAGCTATGTGCGTTGCAGCTCAATTAGCGGAAATACGTGCTGGTAAAGATGATTACGCTGCCTATGCCTATGCAACATGTGTACTGCCTCAACAAGAGCCCAGTGATCCAGATTACACAAACATCTCTACAGAAAATAATGGATTTCGTATCGCTTATGAAAATACAACAGCTGCTGCAAATCATATTGAAGCATCCCTAAAAGCATGGAATGCTCAAAACATTACCAGTAGCACTGGCAGTACTGAAGTTTTATCTTCTAAACCTCTTGTTCCCTATGCAGATGACAATACAGAAACTGATCACAATAATTCGACACCTCCACCACCGGGCTTGTAAACGATCACACTTAACCCTCGTCATTTTTTACAGTTCACACTTCAAGGTATTCATATAAACATGTACGTTTCCACATTGTATAGTTACTACATGCAGTATTTTCTCGATGCATTTGTACAGTCCTTTTCAAGATTTGATGAATTTTTGGATATTTAAATACTTTTTGCAGTATATATTGTTTTTAAGTGGGATGCTTTGCTTCTGCAACGAAAGAGGACTGTGAATTCTTAGTTTACTACACCCGAAGAGAATTTCACTTTCACTGTTAATCAAGATCAGTCAGGTTAAAAGATTTGAAATGATACAAAGTTTCTTATTCAACTTGCATTTTACGGAAATAGAACTGCATGGTCGTATTTTTATTCAGAATCCATAAGGAATGAACAAGTCATATATATAGAAAAACTATCATCAAGATCAACGTAGGACTAGGCGTTACTACGTAACGGTCTCAGTTGCCACACCTCATATCAGCCCATCAAGTAACAAGGCGATAAAATAAAGATGAAGTAGAAAGTAGTAAAAAAAAGAGAGGATGGAAGGATGAGATTAGGTATAACGTTTAAGATGAGGATAATGTGTGTATGCATCTGAGCCATATCACGTAGAATCTCTAACCATTGGTTTCTCTTGTCCTGTGAACTCCAACCACCCAGTCTGCATCGCCCCACATGGCTCAAACCAACAGTCAAAGACTTCATGCAGTGATGACAAGTTTTAGTCTGGCCGCTGCAAGTCTTTTTCCAGCCTGAACCTACGTTGGCTAACATTGTGTTGACTAGGTAGATGGTGACTTACCTCTCCTGCCTAAAACTCTATGCCTGACTTCTGCGTTACTCACGTGGTGACATCACGAAACACGGCTTATGTTACGAAGGCAGCGGTGGTCAAAAACCCGAAGCCTTCTCATATCTCCTACCTTTAATGCCTGTCTCACAGAGATACAGTAGAACAGGGTGGACTGCAGCACAGTACACTCGACTCTTAATAGACAGTCGGATATCGTGACGCTAGAAGACCTTGAAAGCATGTATAGATAGCAAACTCTCCTCCACTAAAAGTTGAAAATCTGACAGTAAGATTGTAACTTCATTCATCAAAAAATATACAATAAAGAAGACTCATTTAAAAATATGTATCACCAAGAAAATAATAATAACTCAGCAGCCCTGTCCACATCCGTGCGGTAGGCAATGAGCTATACCTATTGTGTGGGAGCTAATGATACTACCTGGCTGCCCAAACCTTCGTAGACAGAGTGGTGTTCGAACCCGTAACCCACCGGTTGAAAGTCAAATTTTTAAACCAACGAACCGCACTTTACTGTGTCAGTAGTAAAAAACAAAAGGTAACGGGAACAAAGAATAAGTGAGGTAAATGAGGTGTTCAAAATTTGTAAGAAGATAATCATTTATGCATCTACCATGTTGCTTATTATCGAAACATTATCTTGCAAACACTAACTAGTAAGTGTACAGTCCCGTACATGACTTGCATCAATTGTTGCAGACGTAATAATATTTTCTTAACGCGTACAACCCCTAAGTCCGTTTCACTTCATCCTTCTTTCAGTCGACATTTTGCATTTGGTTAGTTTTAAATTAACAGACTTACAAAATGCATTATCTCTTACCTAGTACTGTGCAACTAGTTTTAATATGGCTCAGATGATGCTTTCATCACGTGTTAAATGTTCGTCGAAGTCATAAGTGATCAAATACCTGTAGCTTTACATATCCTTCACTTCGAATAAACACGTTTCATGGTTGTGTAGCGAGACAAAACGCAAGAGAAACGGTACTTAATAACTTCTGTTTTACAGGTGATCATTGTAACATGAGCTTTATGTTTCAATACGAAAGTTTTACATCTGCTCCTAGTACTGCTGAACTTTCTGATAATCCCCATTTGTATATTGCTCTATTAGGAAACCGGCATTAGTCAACTAACCTAAAAAGACTATAAGTATAAAGTTGATACACGACCTGTAACAATTTTCACCTCGTCTGAATGAATGAATTTCCTCCACTCTTTTTGCAAGTGGAAGTCAATTTATGGTTTTTTTGAAGATATGCTCTGGCATTATGTAATCATCGTTTAGCTTTGGTTAGCAATAACTTCTTTATAAGCAGGAAATGAATACACATTGACACCTTTTAACTTTTACGAATTCATATTCTAATAGCAACTAATTTTCAGCAAAAGTAAAAATGTAAACAGAAGTATTCGTATGTACTAGTTGAAAAGTGTATCCTACACAAAATTCTTATAAACCATTGCAGAATACATGGTCATTGATGACGTACTGCAACACTAGTAAAATCTAGGGAATCAACTGGTTCTAAATTATACATTTCTACATGTTTCGAATGCTCAAGTACACGAGGTATTAGAATTCCTGAAGATGATTTGTTTGCTTAGACAAGGCGTTATTTGCTAGCGTTTGACCCAACAAAAATACAATTCACTTCATATGAAATCTCCACGTCTCTTTTGTATCTTTGGAAAAAGGAAGGAATGTGTAAGGAAGTACTAAACAACTATCAGTAACTGTGCACAAAAATGTTGTAACACTCTTGAAATACCGCAGCGATGATCTGCTTTTAAGATTACACTGGAAGTCGCTTAGCATAGTGCTTGCATCTAATAAATCTTGGCGATCGGGTTCATTGTCTCCCTATTTCTTCTTTGCACACAGAACACATGTTGGAGGAACTGATGGGTATGCATAAATTCAACTTAAAAAATATACGAAAAAACTTTCTGGCTCAATTCACTCATTAAAAATTGTCACTGGTATGTGTTCAGTATATTGGACGGGTCCTTTGTGGTAAAGCACGTGATACTACTCACAAAACTGATTCTTAGAAGTAACGCTTTATTTGGCAAGCAGTAGATTATCGAAATGTTCTACATACAACTACGGTCAGTGTGATAGTGAGCAGTTTAAGGAAACCAATTCGAAGCATCTCTTGATGCCCATGTTGCACCAAGTTTGTTTTCAGTAAATGAAGAAGTCACTTCTTGGAATTATCTTGTTTCATAGTATTTATATTGTGTATATTTTAAGGCGAGACCTATCTTGTTCAAGTCACTTGAATCTCACCGAATCAATAACTTAAACCAAGAACTGAACTAACAGTACTGTGTGCTGAAACAAGGTAAGTATAACGTAAGCGGATGTTAACAAGCGATATTTCTGGGGTACTATTATGGAGCTTAATCAATGGAACACCTAATCACCTTTCTTTGTTTACGAAAAGGTAAATAAAAGTTATTCGCAGGTCGATATTGTTATTCCCAGTTGGCACTGTGGATGAGACCTGCGTGTTACTGGATATAATCTATCTCATGATCTACAGTTAATAAGGCATAAGAATGAAAATCATTTGGAAATCAATGATTTCGTTTTAGCTAACTTGAACCATGTTAGGGATGCTTTTATTCCATACTTACAATTTGTATATATTTGAACTCTTTTTCTTGTGCATGATCACATTTCATATAACGCGCTAGCGTTCTGATTGATCCCTGCCTTTAAATATACTTATTATTCCTTATCTTTCAAGGTTAGTGTAAATTCAGGTGATTACCAGTCTTTTGACTTCTGTTTGCGAATCACTTAGGTTGAACCGTCTCAACCCTCGATTACCAATCGTTAAGTATTTTCGTTTGTCACAACTTCGCGTCGTAACAAATCCCTCTTCCTAGTTACTAGATCACTGTGCATTACATTTGATGCAACCATTCACAATGGATACAAACTATTGCCTTTAAAAAGACACAAGGAGAGTAGTCTTGGCTTCCATTTAGAAATTCAGATAAATCTGTCAGTGGGAACTTTGATCAACGTCCTTCAACATGAAATCTAAATTACCATCCGGAACTCGGTTTTCCCATCTTTACGCTACATTTCGACATCTTAAAAACAAATAAAAAGCCAAATTATCTCACGAACCACGTGCATGTTCATATAATAGGCACTGAGTCACCTACTGTGTAACATATAACCCAGCTGTTCAAAACAAGGTAGGTTAAGTGAAATGTGCACCCGTTACCCACTAGTTGGAAGTCAACTGCCTAAACCAATGATCTACAGTTTATAACCTTCCCTAATCCTCAGCCGCCTTATGCGACTTTTATTCAGCTGATTTTGTGTACCGAAATATTGCTTCGATTCACAATGCACTGTTTTCTCTGTTCATATCATTACAAATATTCCTGTCATTTTTGATGTAATTTATGTACAATCTACATCCTCGCAACATATATGCTTAAACATTTTAAAGCAGTATATTTTGTTCGTAACCTCGCCTGGTTAACTAGTTTACTAGTTACTAGCCGGTCCTAAGCCCGGGTAAAGAGGGAAGACTTGGATTTCGCCGATGACTTATGCCTAATGTCACACAAACTTGAAGATCTGCAGGCAAAACTAACAAGTTGGCAGAGAGGTGAGGCAGCGAAGACGGGACTTCAGGTGAATATAGAGAAGACAGAAGTGATGAAGATACCGCACCACCACCATCAACAACAACAACAAACTCCAATCACCGTCAACGGGAGAAACTTGAAGGAAGTAACCTCCTTCACTTATCTAGGAAGCACTGTTTCAACTACAGGCGGGACGGACGAGGACGTCAAAATCAGCCAGGATCGGAAAAGCAAGACAGGCCTTCATTAGCCTGAAACCAGTGTGGAGATCTTCTGCACTCAGCATGCGGAACAACATACGGATTTTCAACACCAACGTCAAGTCAGTGCTCTTGTATGGCTCAGAGACTTGGCGCGTCACGAAAGGCATTTCCAATAAACTACAGACATTCATCAACAACTGCTTACGCTCGCTGCTGAAGATCAGATGGCCAGAAAAAATAAGCAACAAGGAACTCTGGGAACGAACCAACCAAGAACCTATCACGCAACAAATATGCAGGAAGAAGTGGAGATGGATTGGCCATGCACTGAGAAGGCCGACTGAGGACATCACGCGTCAGGCCCTCGAGTGGAATCCCCATGGGAAGCGACGAGTTGGACGTCCGAGGGTGACATGGAGGAGGTCGTGCGAGGAGGAAATGAGAGCTTCTGGGCTGTCGTGGAACCAGGTTCAAAAGATCTCAGAGAACAGAGGTCACTGGAGGCGTGCTACTGAAGCCCTATGTTCCACTAGGAACCCAAGGGACTAATAATAATAATAATAATAATATTTTGTTCGTGATTTAGTAATGTCTGGAAAACCAGCGACTTGAATGCCTATGGATGGTGGTATAAGTTTGTTCATCGGTAGCAACTGTATGGAGACATGACAACCTACACAAAATAAGAAAGAAGCTTGCGGTCATAATTCTCGTTACCTTATACAGCTAAAACTAATGTGGATTTATTAGCATTTATTTACACTCTGTAATTCATGCTTTGACACATATATTGTAGGCATTTCATGAACTATAAGACCAGGAATAGTTAAAATGTTAATCAGTTTATTCGTTGTGAATATCTCCACGTAATTATATCGACGAGTTAGTGTTGTACTGACATCTTCCTGCATTTGTGGAACACCTATCTCTTGAACTTTCACGTAAAAATATACCTTAGTTGTACAAGTTGTAGGATCACTAGATCGATCTGTTCTACAGTGTAACCATGATGAAATCTTTCCAAAAGGAGGTGAACATGGAGGGGAATATGTAACCAACCCATCTTGTTGTTCAGATGACAAATTTAACAAATGATCATTCCATATGTTGCATAGACGTGTTTGTTGCTCTTGGTTATGTACAACCAGACGTATTGACCTTGATTGATTAACATTAGGTGTGGTGATTGAATTCTCTTCCAAGGGCATTAGATTGAATTCTATACTCCATAAAATACTCTTAGGTTCATCTTTTTGTAGATGAATACGAGTTTTGTTCACCTTAGAACGTGAAAGTACAGGTGTTGGTGCAAGTTGAAGGGTGATCCCGTATTCACTAGCTAATTTCATTAACTGTCTTCTTTTTCGGATTCTTACATTATTTCGATAAGATAGCTGAATAGAATCAGAAAAGTGGAAAAGGTTAAGATCAATAACAGTTTCACAGTAACTTATTCCTTACTTTCTAGAAATTAGGTGCATAAAAGGTACTGAAATATATAGCAATACAGTGATCGGTCATTAGAGAGTGAACAATTTTATGCTGTTTACTTCTGAGTGATAACCGAGTTCTATCGATCGTATTGTATTGTCATCAAAATAGGAGACACTATCGAGGAGCACTTTGACAGATGTCAGTTGGATGGAGGCTATCGACAAGAAGCCCTAGACTTAGTTTCTGTGCTTGTTGATACTTGTCAGCAACGCGTATCTGCAACCTCGAGGGAATTTACTTTCCGTATGAGATCCAAACCGACATCCACTGGTGCTGCCAATTAGAAATGTTATCAGGGCTTTCTGCCGATTGCCTCCATCCAACTAACACATAATAATAGTTTATGGTGGCTGAAATACTGTCCAGACATCTCTACCATGATGCTAAAACGTTCAAGTTAATACTCAGCGCAGCAACGTCCAATATTTCTTTTGTAAGGTTAATGATAACCAGCATAATTTATTCCTAGTCCGTTTCTTCCGATACTATGTCCAAAACTTAGTATGGATTACTTATCTTTTTAAGTGAATTCCTGTCTTCTTCATTTACAGCCACAACTTTGCTTTGATCCATATATTTAGGTTAGATATACTTCTATAATACATGGTGGCGGGAACGAAGATATACCCGAAAGACTGTTCACTATTATTATTGGGAAACACTAAAATATATATGGAATTTTATTTGCTCTAAATTATAAGAGAACCTCGCCTGGTTAACTAGTTTACTAGTTACTAGCCGGTCCTAAGCCCGGGTAAAGAGGGAAGGTTGGGCATAGGGCTAGCAACCCTACCCCGCAAAACAAATCTAACCGCTAAAGAAACTTCAAAGCACAAACAAAATATAAAAAATGAAAACAAAATTATTCCTCGCTGGAATCGGAGAGGCGAAATGACGCCAGTTGGTGAAAGCCTTCGGGAAGCCAATTGGCCGATGTGTCTTCTCTCGATGAAAGCGAAAGTAAACGTGGGGACATGGAATGTCCGCACGATGTTTGAACCCAGTAAGGCAGCTCAGATTGCAAGGGAGATGAGAAGGTATAACATCGAAGTGCTTTGGATTTGCGAAAGCAGATGGAATGGGAGTGGACTCTCCAAACTGTCAACTGGAGAATCAATAATCTACTCCGGTCACCCAGACGCCAACCACGAGCACACTGAGGGAGTGGCTATCATGATGTCCTCAAGAGCATCGAAGGCTCTCATGCAGTGGGAACCAATCTCCTCCAGGATCATGACAGCAAGATTCAACTCAAAAGGAAGAAAGGTCAAGACAGGCCTTCGTTAGCTTGAAACCAGTGTGGAGATCTTCTGCACTCAGCATGCGGAACAAGATACGGATATTCAACACCAACGTCAAGTCAGTGCTCCTGCATGGCTCAGAGACTTGGCGCGTCACGAAAGGCATTTCCAATAAACTACAGACATTCATCAACGACTGCTTACGCTCACTCGACACTGAAGATCAGATGGCCAGAAAAAATAAGCAACAAGGAACTCTGGGAACGAACCAACCAAGAACCTATCACGCAACAAATATGCAGGAAGAAGTGGAGATGGATTGGCCATGCACTGAGAAGGCCGACTGAGGACATCACGCGTCAGGCCCTCGAGTGGAATCCCCATGGGAAGCGACGAGTTGGACGTCCGAGGGTGACATGGAGGAGGTCGTGCGAGGAGGAAATGAGAGCTTCTGGGCTGTCGTGGAACCAGGTTCAAAAGATCTCAGAGAACAGAGGTCACTGGAGGCGTGCTACTGAAGCCCTATGTTCCACTAGGAACCCAAGGGACTAATAATAATAATAATAATAATAATATTTTGTTCGTGATTTAGTAATGTCTGGAAAACCAGCGACTTGAATGCCTATGGATGGTGGTATAAGTTTGTTCATCGGTAGCAACTGTATGGAGACATGACAACCTACACAAAATAAGAAAGAAGCTTGCGGTCATAATTCTCGTTACCTTATACAGCTAAAACTAATGTGGATTTATTAGCATTTATTTACACTCTGTAATTCATGCTTTGACACATATATTGTAGGCATTTCATGAACTATAAGACCAGGAATAGTTAAAATGTTAATCAGTTTATTCGTTGTGAATATCTCCACGTAATTATATCGACGAGTTAGTGTTGTACTGACATCTTCCTGCATTTGTGGAACACCTATCTCTTGAACTTTCACGTAAAAATATACCTTAGTTGTACAAGTTGTAGGATCACTAGATCGATCTGTTCTACAGTGTAACCATGATGAAATCTTTCCAAAAGGAGGTGAACATGGAGGGGAATATGTAACCAACCCATCTGTTGTTCAGATGACAAATTTAACAAATGATCATTCCATATGTTGCATAGACGTGTTTGTTGCTCTTGGTTATGTACAACCAGACGTATTGACCTTGATTGATTAACATTAGGTGTGGTGATTGAATTCTCTTCCAAGGGCATTAGATTGAATTCTATACTCCATAAAATACTCTTAGGTTCATCTTTTTGTAGATGAATACGAGTTTTGTTCACCTTAGAACGTGAAAGTACAGGTGTTGGTGCAAGTTGAAGGGTGATCCCGTATTCACTAGCTAATTTCATTAACTGTCTTCTTTTTCGGATTCTTACATTATTTCGATAAGATAGCTGAATAGAATCAGAAAAGTGGAAAAGGTTAAGATCAATAACAGTTTCACAGTAACTTATTCCTTACTTTCTAGAAATTAGGTGCATAAAAGGTACTGAAATATATAGCAATACAGTGATCGGTCATTAGAGAGTGAACAATTTTATGCTGTTTACTTCTGAGTGATAACCGAGTTCTATCGATCGTATTGTATTGTCATCAAAATAGGAGACATTATCGAGGAGCACTTTGACAGATGTCAGTTGGATGGAGGCTATCGACAAGAAGCCCTAGACTTAGTTTCTGTGCTTGTTGATACTTGTCAGCAACGCGTATCTGCAACCTCGAGGGAATTTACTTTCCGTATGAGATCCAAACCGACATCCACTGGTGCTGCCAATTAGAAATGTTATCAGGGCTTTCTGCCGATTGCCTCCATCCAACTAACACATAATAATAGTTTATGGTGGCTGAAATACTGTCCAGACATCTCTACCATGATGCTAAAACGTTCAAGTTAATACTCAGCGCAGCAACGTCCAATATTTCTTTTGTAAGGTTAATGATAACCAGCATAATTTATTCCTAGTCCGTTTCTTCCGATACTATGTCCAAAACTTAGTATGGATTACTTATCTTTTTAAGTGAATTCCTGTCTTCTTCATTTACAGCCACAACTTTGCTTTGATCCATATATTTAGGTTAGATATACTTCTAGAATACATGGTGGCGGGAACGAAGATATACCCGAAAGACTGTTCACTATTATTATTGGGAAACACTAAAATATATATGGAATTTTATTTGCTCTAAATTATAAGAGAACCTCGCCTGGTTAACTAGTTTACTAGTTACTAGCCGGTCCTAAGCCCGGGTAAAGAGGGAAGGTTGGGCATAGGGCTAGCAACCCTACCCCGTAAAACAAATCTAACCGCTAAAGAAACTTCAAAGCACAAACAAAATATAAAAAATGAAAACAAAATTATTCCTCGCTGGAATCGGAGAGGCGAAATGACGCCAGTTGGTGAAAGCCTTCGGGAAGCCAATTGGCCGATGTGTCTTCTCTCGATGAAAGCGAAAGTAAACGTGGGGACATGGAATGTCCGCACGATGTTTGAACCCAGTAAGGCAGCTCAGATTGCAAGGGAGATGAGAAGGTATAACATCGAAGTGCTTTGGATTTGCGAAAGCAGATGGAATGGGAGTGGACTCTCCAAACTGTCAACTGGAGAATCAATAATCTACTCCGGTCACCCAGACGCCAACCACGAGCACACTGAGGGAGTGGCTATCATGATGTCCTCAAGAGCATCGAAGGCTCTCATGCAGTGGGAACCAATCTCCTCCAGGATCATGACAGCAAGATTCAACTCAAAAGGAAGAAAGGTCAAGACAGGCCTTCGTTAGCTTGAAACCAGTGTGGAGATCTTCTGCACTCAGCATGCGGAACAAGATACGGATATTCAACACCAACGTCAAGTCAGTGCTCCTGCATGGCTCAGAGACTTGGCGCGTCACGAAAGGCATTTCCAATAAACTACAGACATTCATCAACGACTGCTTACGCTCGCTGCTGAAGATCAGATGGCCAGAAAAAATAAGCAACAAGGAACTCTGGGAACGAACCAACCAAGAACCTATCACGCAACAAATATGCAGGAAGAAGTGGAGATGGATTGGCCATGCACTGAGAAGGCCGACTGAGGACATCACGCGTCAGGCCCTCGAGTGGAATCCCCATGGGAAGCGACGAGTTGGACGTCCGAGGGTGACATGGAGGAGGTCGTGCGAGGAGGAAATGAGAGCTTCTGGGCTGTCGTGGAACCAGGTTCAAAAGATCTCAGAGAACAGAGGTCACTGGAGGCGTGCTACTGAAGCCCTATGTTCCACTAGGAACCCAAGGGACTAATAATAATAATAATAAGAGGGTATTTTTAGGCAAGAAACTCATTGACAGCAACTACACTTCTGGATCACTGAGACGTCGTAACAACAAATATTCAGTGCCTATTAAGAAACAAATCAAAGAAGTCAGAATACTATGTATCTAATGACAATTGCTAATGATCTATCGTGAACGAGTAACCGTAGCTTCATTACCATCGTCTGCAAATGACAACCTAATTAAGAACTTATAGGAATCACTTTATACCTATACAAGAGTGTACGAGTCTAGCAGTTTCCACAAATAAACAGAGAGTGCAGTATACTCGTCTCTTGATAAGTATTCGGATATCTTGCCGGCACCAGAAGCGTCCTAAGTTACCGATTCCCGAGTGAGTTTTTGTATATCAGCTGAAATTTCGCCAGCAACCAACCCATTTGAGCTGGTAAAACTATCTCAGTAAGTGAAGTAGTAAACACACTCGACTACTGCACTCCGTATCCTTAAGTTGGAAGCATCGGCTTACCAGTCCAGAAGTATCATCTTAGATTTGACAGGTGCAAAACATACTCGGACTTCTGGTCAGACTTTCAGAAAACTGCAATTTGTCGGCGTTTTCGTCTAACGGGGTAATGTTGTCTGTGTACTACACATCAACTGGATGGCATCCAAGGAGTAGGGCGATCCCTAGGGTTTTAAAAGTAACGATGGTTATCTCTACTAGTATGTCAGTGGTGAAAATAAACAGGACTGGTGACATAATCCCTGAGGGTTACCACTGGGTGTCGTTACTTTATACGATAACTCTCCTATAAGGCCTTACACAGCTGTGACTTCGAGTGCAGGGCTTTTATTAATACCACAAACTTTCTCGGTACCCTGAATCATAGTTAGGTACTGCTTTAACACCTCTCGACAGCAGGTTAAGAAATACGACAGGTGTCGAGTACCGATATACAACCATGTGTTCTTGAATCTGTAGTAAAGCGAAGATCTAATCGATGCAACCTCGTCCATGTTTAAAACCTGTCTGGTTTTATCGAGCTCCAAATAGGCGTCTGATAACTACATACCTTAAGATCCTGGACACAATGTCAATTAAACTGATCCCACCATGGCTGTCAAAAGAAGACACCTCTCCATTCTCATACATTGGGACAAACAGTGGTAAAGACAAATCTGATGGACTGCCTTTGATTCGCACATACTACCTAGCACCTCTTTTACCTTTTACTCCACTCAGTAACTTCGTACCCCCCACCAATTAGAAACTTTGGGTGCTAAATCGTTAGGTCCTACTGCCTTGTATTGTTTTGGGCTTTAAACAGTCTACTCAACTTCGAGGAGAGTTGAAGAACCGAAGTCAACGTCCGGTTCAGGTTCGGAATGAATCCTGAGTAACTGAAGCATCGTGCGGGCCAGTTGAACTGTTTTCAAAAGTGTCCCACGCTGCGTACTAACCGCCTATCCTGCGGGATTATCACGGACTCACTAACCATAATCTTAATCTAACCAGTATCCTAAATAATTGCCGAGCATTATTTAATGCTGATGCCTTCTCTATATCTTTCACTTTCGCCACTGAACACTGCTAGCGATCGTTGCGAAGACGCTCAGTCAATTTACATTTCAGTTGCTTTCACTCTTCGTTATGATAGTAGCCAGTTGAGATGCGTTTTTTGCACAAATCAGATTGGAAGAGGTTACGGAAATCCTCCGGTTTTCCCTAAGCTTTGACCATAAGTTAGTATCGGTCTTTAACGTTGTTTCTAAAACAGACTAAATAGGCGGAAGCAACTAACATATAGACTGGCGACACAATGACTGCAAACAGTATTGGGCAGAAAGGACTAAGGCAGTAGCGATAGGTGACAGTAGACAGTTATTTAGGCTTATCAAGGAAACTGGGGAGAAGGAATCACTGATTACTAAGACTATAGCGGACAAGAATGAGTCTGCGACTTATTTTCAGGGGAGACGACTGGGACGATGGACGAAACACTATGAGGAACAGATCAACCGACCTCCAGCTATCCAGTCGGATCCTGAATGAAACATCGAGATAGGGCCTCCATTACTTCCGGAAAGGACAGTGATCGAGAATTATTGATTAACTGAAGTGGTAACTAGTATGTGGAAGTCAAATATCATTCCCTCTAACTGGTTTTAATCACTGATTATCCCAGTCTTCAAAAATAAACGGCCACTTGGGTTAACCAAACATAATGTCAAGGTTCTATGATCACTAGACGTATGAGCGGATGTTAAGAATAGCAAACCCGGGACCAGGTAATTTTGTAGGCCCGGCCGTGCGTGCATCTACCAGATATTCATACACTTCCCGTTAGGCTCTGGAACACAGGCACACTTACCAATACCTGACAGTAGCTATATTTCTCGACGTGAAGGCCCCATCCGACTCTGCTGATCGAGAGGTTCTGCGACGGTCTCTCACTGGTAGGGATGCCGAGTAAGTGCATCATCCTGTCAAAGGCTCTGTACTCTAACATCCGTGGGTGTGTTAGAGACTTCGGTGAGTTGTCGAGCGAGTTGTGTACGCCTATTGGTCCGCGTCAAGGGTGTCCACTGTCTCCATTCCTATCCGACTTTATCACAGACGTACTCTAAGAGGTTTTTCCCTCGTCATCTGACTTGACAGTAACTGGCCTTATCACAGGAGAATCCTTAGTAGACCTAAAGCATACAGATAACATTCGTGGTAGGTGAAGATGGTAATAAGATGCAGAGCCTACTGGACACCTTGAGTGACAATTCGAGGATGTTTGCGTTGCGTTCCTCGCCACCCAAATGTAAGTTCTGTCTTCCAGAATGGTTGTTGCTAGTGCCCTGTCTAGTGATAGGGGATGAAATGGTTGAGCGCGTTGACCACTTCAACTGCCTGGAAACTTAGATCACCCGTGGTGGTTCAGTGGTCGACGGAATGTCTGCACGAGTACGAAAGGGGCTTTATTGGCTTTCGCCAACTTACGCCATTTATGGCCCTGTCGTGACATCCGACTGTCGATTAAGGACCAAATGTACTGTGTTGCAGTTTGATCTATTTCACAACAGGCTGTGAAAGACGGCCATTAAACGTAGAGGATATGAGAAGGCTTCAAGTATTTGACCACCGTCACTTTGTAGCATAGACCATGTGTCGTGGTGTCACCACGTCAGTGACATAGAAGTCAGGTGTGAAGTTTTACGGAGGAGAGGAAATTCTACTACGAGGTTGTGAATCTTCATTGGCTGGGACATGTGTTTCACGTGCCTAGTCAATGTTTGCCAGGTCGCACAATGTAGGATGAAGTAGGTTGAAAGTGGAAAAAGGGTCGGTGCGGCCTGAATAAAACATGGCATCACTGCATGAAGCTTTTGACTACTAGTTTGAGTCACATGAGGGAACGCAGACTTCCCGGTTGGTGTTCGTGGGACAACAGAAACCAGTGGTTGGAGATTCTAGGTACCATGGCTCCGAATCTATTTCAGTGGTGCAAATGTATCTACACGTTACTCCAATCTTAATTTTCGCATTAAATCTAGTATTTCTTAACTCCCAATTCCTCTCTTTTACTGCTTCCTATTACTTTTGATCTGTTCTTCTTTGCTTCTTTATCTTTCTGCTTTCCACTTGATGCGGTGATATGAGGGTGTCGCAACTTGGACCACTATGCAGCAATGCCTACCAATATTGATGGAGTAAGTACACGGTGTCGCATGAGAAGAGCTACTGCACATATATTCAACTGCTATGTTTTTAATGCACAAATATACGCGTACCGACACGTGATCGGAATCCAAGTAGATACTCCAAAGACGGCTAACTGTAGTATGATCTATCCGTGTCCATTGCTGATTTGATGTTGGTGGACGCCAAGTTAGACACCATCTCTCCTTCTGTCTGAGGTTAGTGCTGGTCAGCAACAAATGATAGTCAGGACAAATTTGTCATAGAAGATAACTGTTCTTATTTCGTTGGTATGGGACACCCTAGATACCCCCGGATGCCATTTCGATTGAATCAGCATATTTACTTGAGCACTGAAGTAGTCTGCCACTATCACTATATTTGAACGTTTTGTCCTACCTAGCAGAATTGATAGCCTTCGACAGAATTATTCATACTTTGCACCATCCGCACTGCAGTTGACGGGGGTGCAGGCGGACACTGCGAGTAGGCGTCGGTGAAGTGTCACTACCATTCACAGTTTTTAAAGATGCATTTGGCTAGATAACACAGAGGTATTAACTGACATCCAGTCAACAAATGTGTTTTTTACAACTTAGTGTTTTACCTATACCAGAGAGCCCAAGTGACCCAGGTATTGAATCTCCGGACACTAGTAAAGTGGGTTTCGCAGATTCACCACGATGACCAGGTGAGGTCGAATGAATAACCACACTTCGTTTCTGTATGTATGTCTCAGAAACAGCATTTCTTGCGATTCCAGATTTTGGAAAGAGGTATTTGTTGTCCGGTTTGGCATAGGGATAGAATGCTCACAGTTTCAATACAAGAGTGGCAACGTGGCCTTAGGAAACTGCGAAAAGTGCTCAGCTGTGTTGGATATTTAGCAACAGTGAAAGAGATTTTGAGGAAGCTGTGAGAGGCTTAATGTAAATACCAGGAAGTGAAGATAAGGAAGTAGATAGAGTCAGTTGTGATAATACATAGTGGAAATATACCTACTCAGCAACCTTGCGCTCATTTGTACAGTAGGCAGTGAGTCACACCTATTGTGTGACAGATAAACAATACTACTTAGATGCCGGAATCTCGATAGGTGACGCGGTGTTTGAATCCGTGACCCATTAGTTGAAAGTCAACCTCCCTAAACCAGTGAGCCACAACTGTGACGGTGACTGCTTTTTGTAACCACCATCTAACATGTATTTTTCGCATGATAAAACCTTAAAGAGCAATAATTCCAAGCAGCATAACTCATTTGGTCACTGTGATATCCAAGCCTTAGCACCACGTCAAGGTAGCAGCTATCAATCGGTTCCACCAGAAGCTAGCAATCCTAAGTAGGCGAATGGTTAGAAAAATAGAATCGTCCAACACCTTCAGTTTGAAAATGTCAAGTTCCAAAGACGTACAGCAGAAGTGTCCGTACTGACACCCTCCATACCCGAATGTTTAAAAAGTAGGTTGACGTCAGGATGACAACAAAAGTTACCCAGATTGGCGTATACTACTGTGGTTTGCGAAATACAGTTGGAAAATTCATAAGTTACACGTTCACTAACACTCATGACTATCCAGGTACATAAACTTCTTGGCATTTTCCAATGGTTTACCAACAGGAGTGAGTGCGGGTACAGGCTTCTGCAAACCTTGTAAAAGCATTTGCACTTTAGTGGCACGAAACATACACCATACTTAAGGAAACTAATCACTAAGTAACTATGGGCTAAAAGACACTGAATTCTGTTTTTGTGTCAGTAGGATAGCTGAGTTGCATCTAAAAATACACCACCAACCATTTCTGTCATCTATGAACTTTGATAATTGGTGTAACAACAATTTCACAGACCGTCTCAATGACAGTCTTCTTGAAGCTAGTAGCTTGAATGAGCTGAAAACAACTTCCAACTATTGCTAGATGAAGCTGTTGTTTACAACGCAAGCGTTCTGATCAACAAGCCTGGAGGTCCTTGTGCAAGTGTTACGTGATCTTCTAGGTAAGGGACTTACGCACACTATTGAACTCATTGCCCGCTGAAACACACCAACAAGCGTAAAGAAGCTGCAGAGGGCCAGTGTTTGCGACGGGATGTTCGCCACAAGGTTCATTTGCCGTTTTCATGGCATCCTGTAAGTCTAGCCAATCTTCATCAATACTTTCTGGAGGTCCAACAGCTGGTCTTAAATCTAGCTCGGTTTGGTATTTAGTTGCAGTACTACGTGCAAAGTTTGTTTATGTTGACCCGCCTAGAACGACGATTTTGATGACTACCAAAAAGTAACATGAAATAAGCATAAACTGCAGAGTGATCAGAGTCCAGAGAGGTGCCCCAGAAAGAAAGGCAGTCCCGAAAACACCTACGTCACTGGTAGCTAATAACAATATGATTTATTTAAGTCCAGACTTGAATGGCAGAGGTAAGAACGCTAGGTAGCGCGACGACGATAGCTGTGTCGGAAAATAAGGCTGGCTAGAAATAGATTGTGATCTGAGTAAAATTACAGAAGACGGTTTCCGTAATCAGACCTACAACCAACTAACACCTTTTGATCACGTAAATGACATTCCTCCTCAGAGCCTAAAAGTTCAACATGTGCATTCAGGTCGCCCAAATGGCACTACGATATTCGTCTAGTTCACTTGGTAACGTAATACAACGAACAACGAAGTGAAAAAAGAAATACATTGGATATAACCAAATCCACAAGATACATTCAAAATAGCAGATAACACAAAGGGATGTGATGAAACCACTAGAAGACAATTAACTAGTGAGTTTAGTTGTAAGGTTTTCAAATGAAAAAACGAATCAGACAACACAACTGTGCAGATGGAATACGCATGTAACTCAGCTGGGGTACATCGATTGCGTGAGGCTTAGTATACCTGGTTGAACAGACGTCACTAAGAAGAGTATTGATTGAACCGGTGATCGACCATTTGGAATAAGAACAGTTAAGCCAGTCGGCAACAACCCATAATGTCTGTCACCTGAGATGTCTGAGGTAGATCCTTTACACACCCAGCTATTGTCTACTTTGATGTGCGACCTCATGGATTGAGATAGAACTGATGAATCTTTATAGTGGCTATATAAGATAAGGAAGTAAACCCTTAAATCAATGTATAGGGGATTTGAGTTTTCTGTAGAGTTTCAGACTTGCTGTTTGAATTTTGCTAGTCGACAGAAACTAGTACTTACGAAAAAATCGCACTGTTCAAAAACTAACCAGATACAACTACGCTTTATCTTTCCCTAAACTTAATCTTACTATTCTATACCCAGGCTTACTGCGACTGCATACCTCTACTTTTTCCCAACATTATTGGTATCATCACATTTATCCGCTTGTAATAGCTTTCGTTTCGTTTCACCACCAACACCGGACATAGAAATGCTGCGTAAAATTTCAAGTCGACACATCTCGCATCAGTACATGAAGATACACGGCAACAAGAAAAAAAAACACAAATATAATCAAAATTCCTAAAAGCTATGAAAAAGAAGACGGTGTAAATAAAATAATGGTTAAGGTAAAGGTGAGGTATGCATGACTGTAAGCCATGGTAATTGATTCTGAGCTACGCCACCGGATCCAGTCATTGATTTCAGCAGACCCCAACATGAAAGTCTGAATTTCCCTACACGACTAAGATCAACATTCAAAGACTTCATGGACTGAATTCATGTTTTAGGCTGATCGCCTTCAATCGCCTTCCAGCCTAAACCTACCTTATCGAACATTGCACAATGGGACATACGGTAAGCGTGCGTAACACATGTACCAGATACCTCAGTTGATAAATGTTGACAACCTCGCCAACTGACTTACCTCTTTTACCTATCAATATACGCCCCAGTAATCAGTGAAAACATTTCTGTGTACTAGTATTCTGGAAATGGAGTAGGAATATCTAATACAACGTGAATATCCTATATCAACCACACCACCTAGGTATATTTTGCAGAAAACGAACAGATACACTCGTCATTACTTACTGATAAAAGCTGTTCTTCCCTTTGAGCATTTCTCCTGTCAATCTCTTCAAGTAATCGATAGTCTTTTTGGAAAAGAAAAGCAGAATAGTTTTCGCGTCGACAATAGGTAACAGTATCACATACTCCACTACAATCAAACTGACTTTTATGATTGTTACAGCAAAAGAGGCTACAAGTTCTGATTTCACATTTCGGACATTTGTATTTGAACTCCTTTTCTAAGCATATAGCACACATTCGATTATCACTGGAGGGAACACATTCCATAGGTTGTGGATCTTCCAAACTCATAGTTGTACAAAGTCTTCGGAAGAATACCTGGAAGATATAAATTAGTATTGTTAGGATCATCAAAAACTTAAATATTTAATAAATCAACTAAAAAACAGGAACGACGAGGGGAAATGCTCGGAGCTAAGTGGTAAGATAAGTTAGTACAACACAGCAACATGTACAAGATAAAATAAATGACAAAAATAACCAAGCTGTAGATGTACGGTTTCATCACCAACTAGTACATGCACTAGACTAAGACATTTAAAACTGTATCGTCAACGAAATGATTACATTTCAATATGACGAAAGAGAATCAATTTACTATCATTAAAACTTTAACGATAACTCTGAGCTTCGATACTCACTACTGTCGCATCGCTAACATTACGACAGTGATGTTTTTTAATCCTTATCTATTTCCTTTGCATCATCGATCTGAAGGAACAAGGGTTCCAACCACTATAACTCAAATAAGTCGGTGGAATAAACAAGTACGAACACTGTAAAAATTCAGATATCTAAAAATCTGATATTTTAGTAGAAAACTGGGCTTTTAATTACTTCATTTATATTTGCAACACTATATTTTGCATCTAGGATCACAAGGACTCCGCATACAAACCTGTTTCTGGTAACATTGTAACCCGATTTTATGAATATTGATGCAAATGGAAACTAAAAGCAAACGTGGTGTAATATTATAAGCAGATGGCAAGTTCCGAACTGTAAGTCGGTAGTGTAGATGATAAATGAATACATCTGACCACTTGGCAATAAGTGTTAACGAAACAGTAATGGTACTACTTGATGACGTTTCGAGCATAAATTATTCCTCACAATCATATTAATGTAATCACATTCCTTTCGATATCTGATTTTTATAGCTCCATCACCTCATATTCAAAGAAATATGGTGATAGGACTATAAAAATAAGACGTCGAAAGCTGTGATTACATTGATATGATTATGAGCAATAATTTATGCTCGAAATGTAATCAAGTAAATAATACTGTATCACTGTGCGCTATATATCAAATAAACAAATCTAATATGGAAAAGAAATGGTTGGTAAGAGAAGCGATCGCGAAGATACAAACGAAAAGGCTTTAGTTTATTATTATTGTCCCTTGGGTTCCTAGTGGGACATAGGGATTCAGTAGCACGTCTCTACTGCACTTTGTTCTCTGTAGTCGTTTTAACCTGGCTCCACGACTGCCCTTAAGATTTCATCTCTTCCTCACACAATCTCCTCTATGTCACCTTCACCTCGGATGCCCAACTCGTTTCCCCTTTGAGTTCCACTCGACGGTCTGGCACGTGATGTCTCCGAATGGTCTTCTCAGTGTATGGCCAATTCATCTCCACTTTCTTCTACATATTCGTTGAGCCATAGGTTCTTGGTTGGTTCGTTGCCAGCCAGAGTTCCTTGCTGCTTATTCTTTCCGGCCATCCGATCTCCATCTCCAGTGTCGAGCGTAGGTAGCTGTTGCTGAATGTCTGTAGTTTGTTGGAAATGCTTTTCGTAACGCGCCAAGTCTCCCAACCATCATATAGAAGCACTGACATGGCTGAATTAGTATTGAAAATCCAAATCTTGTTCCACATGCAGTGGAGTAGATCTTCACACTAATTTCAGGTTGATGAAGGCCTGTCTTGCTTTTCCGATCCTGGCTTTGACGTCCTCATCTGTGCCACCACCTGCAGTTGGAACGATGCTGCCTAGGTAGGTGGGTGAAAGAGACTACTTCCTTTAGGTTTCTCCAGTTGATGGTGATTGGGGCTTGTTGTTGGTGTTGTCGTTGGTTGGGTACCTTCATCATCCCTGTTTTCTCTACGTTCGCTGCCTCTTCTGTCAACTTGTTGGTTTTCCCCTGTAGATCTTCGAAATTGTGCTACAAGAAATGAGACATAAATCATCATCGGCGGCGAAATCCAAATTTTCCAGGGTCTTTTCATCGGTCCAGCCAGTGTATGTCCATCTTCTCGCTCCTCACAGTTTGTTGCATGATCCAGTCGACCACAATCAGGAAGATGATCGGTCTTACTCCTATCTTAAATTCAAAGGCATCACTGAACTTTCCATTGTGTATCACTTGGCATGCAGCGTCGTCATATGGCTGTTGAATGACGTTGATAAAGGTTTGTGGTACTCCGTAGTGTTGAAACAGCTACCAAATCACTTCTCCGTCAACGCTATCGAAGGCAATTTTAAAATCGATGAAGTTAAAGTAGAATTGAGTTGACTGCTATTCTATGCTCTCTTCATTGATGATGATGCGTAGCGTAGCGTTGCAATTTGATCCGCACATGATTTCGGCTTTCACCTTTTTTAGCAAAAGAAGGAAATGAAGCTACTGCACAACAGTCAATGCTTTTAGTTCTGAGAGATACTTACTATCTCAAAATACTACGTTGTTTTACCTCTCGGCTTCACCCAGAAAGTCGTGAGATACCAATACACGCTACGCCAACATAAGTATTCCTCATCCAATGGTGCATTATTATTCACTGCCCAAGCTAATCCTTTCTTACAACCCACCTCACGTCCAGTACTAAGTGGTATGAAGGCTACTGGGTTGGCATTCGTAACACATGTCCAAGCCCCAAAAGTAGGTGCTTCGTATTGGATTACATCATACCACTGATCCAATGAATATCACTCCATCCCTTTTGTTCTTCAACAGCAGGAATCAAAACAAAAAGGTGCAAATGCACACAATTATTTTTGGATCCTAATCAGACAGTCAAATTAGGTCGAAATTTAGAAAAACGTAGGGTTGTGTGATGACAAGGAATATGAAATTTGGGTACATAAAGTCTAAACATAAGTGTGATAAGGTTATGAAAGTGCAGTGACTTTTAAAACAGATGGAGATTACGCATTTTACCATGTCTTTTTTGGTCACAGTATGAACACACCGTAAAACCTTCTCTGACTGAAAAAGCTAGCTTGAATTCCGATAATCTTGGCTACATAGAAGAGATTAAAACGCTTTGGGCGAACACAATGAATTAATTCCAATACTTTAGTTTTATGTGAGTAACCCCGCCTGGTTAACTAGTTCACTAGTTACTAGCTGGTCCTAAGCCCGGGTAAACAGGGAAGGTTGGGCATACGGCTAGCAGCCCTACCCAGGAAAACAAATCTAACCGCTAAAGAAACTTCAAAGCACAAACAAAATATAAAAAATAAAAATAAAATTATTCCTCTCTGGAATCGGAGAGGCAAAATGACGCCAGTTGGTGAAAGCCTTCGGGAAGCCTATCAGCCGATGTATCTTCTCTCTCTCAATGAAAGCGAAAACAAACGTGGGAACATGGAATGTCCGCACGATGTTTGAACCCAGCAAGGCAGTCCAGATTGCAAACGAGATGAGAAGGTATCACACTGAATTGCTTGGAATTTGCGAAAGAAGATGGAATGGGAGTGGTCTCTCCAAACTGTCAACTGGAGAATCAATAATCTACTCCGATATTGTCACCCAGACGACGATCATGAGCACACTGAGTTATGGAGTGGCTATCATGATGTCCTCAAGAACATCGAAGGTCTACTCTCATGCAGTGGGAACCAGTCTCCTCCAGCATCAGGATCATGACAACAAGATTCAACTCAAAAGGAAGGAAGGTCACAATCATACAATGCCACGCTATGCACCTACAAATAATACAGAGCAAGAGAAAAAGGAGGAATTCTACAGACAGCTTCAATCAACACTGGACAAGACCTCAGTTGGCGATATCAAAATTCTAATGGGCGACATCAATCCCAAACTGGGAGAAGAAAACACAGAGAGAGAACAGACTATGGGCAGAGAAGCGCTAGGTGAAACGAACGAGAATGGAAAAATGTTTGCAGAATTCTGTGCATTCAACGATTTGGTGATTGCAGTGAGGCAGTGTGTTCAAGCACAAGGATATCCACAAAGCGACATGCATTTGATTCCACCAGATGGACATACTAAAAATCAGATCGACTTCATCTCAATGTGAAGAAAGTGGAGACGCAGTCTACTCGACACAAGGTCAAAAAGAGGAGCAGATGTAGGTTCACACCACTCACTGTCTAGTGCAAGGAACCTTCCAAATCAAGTTCAAAGCCTTCAAGGAAGCTGGTGATCGACCACAGTCCAAGTACAACACTCGGAAACTGAAGGATGAAACTATAAAAAAAAATCTTCACGTCAGCCATCAAGACAAAATGGGAGATATTCAGCAACATCCACGAAGAGATCTGTGTGGAAGAACACTGGAAGTCTTTGAAAGAGATGTGGAAAGAAACCTGCACAGCCGTATTAGGAAGGAAGAAGAAAGAAGATAAGGAATGGATCTCGATGTATACATGGAAGCTGATAGAGGAGAGAGAGCAGGAGGACGAAGCAGAAGATAAACCAGTGCAACGATGCACAACAAGAAGAGGAACTGAGTACAGTCTATAAAACACTACACTGGACAAAGAAGTGAAGAAGAGTGCGCGCAAAGATAAAAGACACTTCTACGAAACACTGGCAAGTGAAGCAGAACAGGCTGCCGGCTGGTAAGAGAGACCTGACAACATTGTATCAAATAAGCATGTTGCTATTTGGGAAGAGATCAACGCAGACGAAACCAATAAAAGATGATGAAGGAAATTTGATTACGAAGGAAGAGAAACAAAGGAAACGATGAGCCGACCACTTCAAGAAGCTCTTGAATCGACCACCGCCTGCACTTCGTCCAGAAATACCACCTGCAGCTGCTGAACTACGAGTGAATATAAATCCTCCAACAAAAGTGAAAGTCCAGAACGCCATAAAGCTACTGAAATGCGAAAAAGCAGCAGGACCAGATGGAATCCCTCCAGAAACACTGAAAACAGACGCAGAGACAACAGCGGACATGCTCACACCACACCACTATTGCAGAAGGTGTGGAAGGAAGGGAAGGTACCTGCTTATTGATTGGAACAAGGGTTACCTTGTCAAACTCCCGAATAAGGACGAACTAAATCTTTGCAAGAACTGGTGAGGAATCATTCTCCTGTCCACCCCGAGCAAAATATTAGGCCACATCATCCTGGAGAGACTAAAGGATGCACGGGATTCAAAACTACGACCGGAGCAGGTTGGCTGGATTCAGGAAGTACCAATCATGTGCGGACCAAATTGCAACCCTACTCTACGCATCATCATAGAACAGAGTATAGAATGGCAGTCAACCGTCTACCTCAACTTCATCGACTTTGAGAAGGCCTTTAACAGCGTCAACCGAGAAGTGATTTGGCAGTTGCTTCAGCACTACGGAATCCCACAAACCTTTATCAGCCTCATTCAACAACCATATGAAGACGCCACATGCCGGGTAATTCACAATGGAAGGCTCAGTGATGCTTTCGAAGTGAAGACAGGAGTGAAACAGGGTTGCCTACTATCCCACATGATATTCCTGATTGTGGTCGACTGGATCATGCAACAAACAGTGGGGAGCTGTGAGAAGAGGGGGATGCGCTGGACTGCGGAAAAGAACCTAGGAGACTTAGATTTCGCCGATGATTTGTGTCCGATGTCGCACAAACTCGAAGATCTACAGGCGAAAACTAACAAGTTGTCAGAAGAGGTGAGGCAGCGCAGCAAAGACGGGACTTCAAGTGAATATAGAGAAGACAGAGGTTGAGGTGATGAAGATACCCAACCAGTAACATCAACAACAACAACAAACTCCAATCACTATCAACGGGAGAAACCTAAAGGAAGTAGCCTCTTTCACCTATATAGGAAGTACTGCTTCAACTACAGGCGGCAAAGATGAGGATGTCAAAGTCAGAATCCGAAAAACAAGACAGGCGTTCATTAACCTGAAACCAGTGTGGAGATCTACTGCAATCACCATGGGGAACAGGATTCGGATTTTCAACACCAATATCAAATCAGTGCTTCTGTATGACTCAGAGACTCGGCGCGCTACAAAAGGGATTTCCAACAAACTGCAGACACTCATCAACAGCTGCCTACGCTCGCTACTGAGGATCAGATGGATTGCCAGAAAGAATAAGCAGCAAGGAACTCTGGCTGGCTGGCAACGAACCAACCAAGAAGCTATCACCCAACAAATATGCAGAAGGAAGTGGAGATAGATTGGGCATACACTGAGAAGGCCGACTAGGGACATCACGCGTCAGGCCCTCGAGTGGAACCCCGGTGGGGGGCGACGAGTTGGACGTCCGAGAGTGACATGGAGGAGATGGTGCGAGGAGGAAATGAGAGCTTCTGGGCTGTCGTGGAGCCAGTTTCAAGAGATTTCAGAGAACATAGTGCATTGGAGACGTGTTACTGAAGCCCTATGCTCCATTAGGAACCCAAGGGGTCAAATAATAATAATAACCATTAGTAACTAGAAGAGATAAAATGAAGCTTCGCATCAACTTCTACTCGTTTTTGCAGTTACGGAGGTAGAAGCACAATAACCTATTGGTGAGCTTGCATTAGTGTTTTGTGTATGCAGAGGCTGAAGAGCTATCTGAGAACATCGCTTAAAAACCTGGTTTCAACGATACACCAGTGGGATACCAGGTTTTTAAATTATGCTAAACTAGGAGCGAAAAATCATAGAACAAACATTTGCAAGGTCGGTAAATTCGCACTCAGAAGTTAGTTAAGTGATTAAAGCAGTCTATGAAGGTATAAACTATAACTCATAAATAAGTGATATGAGAACGTCCTCAAGATATGAGCAATACTGAAAACTAGTAGTGAAAAACATGGCGGAAGCACTTGTATAACCACGACAATCTACAAACTTTTAACAATCAGTAGCATGGGAATGATTTTTAGGAAGTAGTTATAGATATATCACAAGTGAAGTACATTCAACTCTGTTCTCCAAAATAATACGTTGTACAAGAGTTCGCTCGTAATGGTGTTCGACTTTACTTGTTGTTACATTACACCTGAATCTACACTTCTATTACCCGAATTTGCAAATTGTTTGGTTATTTCCAGGAATTCGCTACTGTTATAATGAAAATAGAAAATATCTTATTAAGCCAGATAGTCCAAAAAACTTTGAGTTGGAAAATCTGTCACATCAAGAAGCGAACTAAATCCGTATTTACAGAAACAGAGAAGAAATACTTGATACATGCGAGATCCACTACCAAAGAAAGCTATTTTCGGAAGCACTTTGCATTTTTTGTGTAATATTGCAGAATTGGATACACCAGACTCCACAGAGCAGTAGTTTCGAATTAGAAGAAACTATCACCTTTACACCATAAATTGTCACAAAACTTCTGAAAGAACGTAGGTACGCTTAGAAGAAAAAGTGAATCACTTGAAATATTTTGAATTTTTTTATAAGTTGGTGGCTTCGATGCAATCCCATTCTGAACTGTCTGATCTGTGCACAGTTGAAACTCAAGGCGGAGTGCTAAAGCGGTAAAATGTCACTGTGAAGTGTGCAGAGTTGCGGCTTATTGGTTCAGGACCTCAACAGTCAAACAATGGTTCCTGGTTGTAAGTCTTGCTTCCCCTACTTCGGTACATGCAGCTGCGAATCATAGACCTTCATACATTAATGCTATCACACAAGAATGTGCCAAACATATGCTATAATAATTAATTTGGTGCCTTTTAGGAAGAGCTAGATTGCCAACAACTTCCCAGGATTAAAAGCCCCGTCAACTATAACAATGAGGGGTTGACTGTGCGTAAATCACCTCAGATCCAAACCAATTATGTAAAAATCGAAATGCATTCAGCAACCACAAGTATTTACATGCATTAGGCAGTGAGACACTTATTTTGCAAGGGTTAACCATCCTATCACCTAGCTATCAAGACCTCGGCAAGTGAAGCACCGTTTGAACCCGCGACTAATTGGCTGAAGTGCGGAACCCCAGACAAGTGAGCCGCCGGCTAACCAAAAGTCGATTGGGTGAAACAATGGGGGAGAAATATCTGTAAATTACGAGGCAAGTTACCAGTGCTTTTATTGAAATCAACACTCGGAAGCAACTGATCTATCTGCAGGTTTTGTCTGAGAAAGGGTTTGAGACTAAAATAATGAAGCTCTCATTGCCTTACTTAGTGAGGCAATTATTAATAACATTTTCAACGACTAGGATGTTATGGTCATTCATATTTGCGGCAGTTAGTGACTAGGTACAAAGATTAAGATTAGGCGTCAATGCTGAATGCGAAACACACTGTCTGGTTATTCTCTTCCATAACTTAATGATGTTTGTTGACCAGCTGGGAATACAATGTTCGCTGGCAGCGAGTTACAAACAAGGTTGTGATTTAATATTAAGGTAAGAATTCCACACTTTAATGTGAGTATTAAAGCGATTAATATTGTTTTAAAAGTGCCAATAAAAAAGATGAACTGGAGTTCCGGCTATGTACTGTTGTTGCTACACAATCCTAAATGCCATATTCGAATTAATAATTATTATTTGTGGCACGAAAATAATAGTACAGTCATGCGAATGAAAATCTATCTTTAATTGATATCTGATAGGGAGCAACATAAGAACTACCTTTTTAACATTCTTGGTCTATGTTCTGATACTTTCCTTCGTGCAAACAACAACTTACAGGTGCCCGATGTCTTCCGCACACGATGTTACGATACAAGTGAGGAGCGCGGGGTGTTTCAAATATCCAGTATATATTTATATAGTGTTACCGTAAGTTGTAAGAAATTTGGGGCATCCATTATCAGCAATGAGGGTAGGGGAAACTTGTAGCTTCTACACACCTGCTTCTAGTGCCTGAGGATTTTTTCTGTTCTGTTATGCTCTTTCTGTGGCGGCAGAATTCTTTCCAGTTTGCCTGAATATACCTCTAGAGATACTGGTTGTCTAATTAAAATATTACAAGCTGCTTTGCTTGTAGAAGCGAAGGGGCTTCTGAAAAGATCAAATAACCCTTTGTAACTCGTGTTTCAGCAAGTAAGTCTTAAGCGGCATTTTAAAAACATTGCTAGAAATAGGGGGAGTTAGGGATGAGAAAAGAGGAGTGGACAGTGCTTGTGGAAAATATATGTTACTATTACCAGTATGAAGAGTCCGTGGATTTTATTACAGATGCTAGGGTTAAGTAACGCAGTAGTGGATGAGTATACTCTATGCCGCTGCCGGCGAACGTTGATTGTTCCAATATCCAATATCTTTTAACTAGGTAGTGTGAATCATTTGATTTCTTCGCGCTGGCTTCTATGTCTTACGGGACATCTACAGGTCTTTGGTGGGTTCCAATGCAGTAGGTCTACCCACTCGACTGCTTTAGCTCTGGTTAGCCCAACGGGCGGTTGGGTGTTGTTTAGATTTGTAGGGAGTGTTGTTTGGTTGTTTGCTTTTTCTTCCGAGGACTGTGGGGCAGATGGGTTCCCTATATGTCGTGACAGCAGACAATTATTCGAACTGGTTGTAAAAAGGAGATGAAAAATATGTGCAGAGGAATCAAGGGATAGAAAGTGCAGAGAGAGACAAAATAGAAAAAGAAAAGGAAGAAATGAAAAAGAATAATATATAAAGGGATTGGGAAAAAGGAAACGGTACGGAAGAATGAACACTGGTAGGTTCATGGGGAATAGGTGATAGAGAGAGCTTCTGTTAAAGTTTGAGAGCGTAAAGTCAGAAGGAAGTACAATAAATAACATGATAGGACGAATGCGAATATAGTAATTCTTTTAGTAGGAGACGGTGACTGGAGGGGACGTCTACAGAAAGTTATAAGGTTGAGCCAAGTTCTCAGTGATAGTGGTTTTACAAAGTGTTCAGGAACGGTTGGTCGTACAGAGCTAGTAAGTCGTGTTAGCCTAATCCACATCCCAGTTGGATGAGCGCAAGCCGTGGGTCGCTGCTTAACTGTCCAACCTCTTCTTGAAGCTGTCAACAGACGGAGCAGTAGCAATCTTGGCAGGCAATGCGTTCCAGTGGCCGCAAACCCGCAGGGAGAAGAAGTGTGATCACATACCCGTTTTTGCTCTTTGGTGGGCGATTCTCCTTGGGTTACCATGAGGATCGCCATAGTGGCCGTTCGATAGGATTCCACTGTTCGGATGACTTCGGTTACTGAGCATTTTGTAAGCCGTTATCAATTCACCACGCAATCTACGGTAGCTTGGAAAGTAGAGCCCCAGATCTTTTAGCCTGTCCTGATATGGTTCTTACCTCATTCCCAAGACACCCTTTGTAGCTCGCCTTTGGAATTTCTCCAGGAAGTTCAAGTCTCCTTTCAGATATGGTGGTGCAATGACGTTGTGTACCTCCAGGTTGGGTAGTATATAGTTCTTATGCGGCTCCAAAAGTAGTTCCGAGGTCAGGGCACTCAACTGTCTACGCATGAAGTGCAGTACCAAGTAGGCTCTGGGGGCATCCCCTGGATAATTGGGGCTAGTGTCTATTTTATCAGTTATATAAATCAATAAATAAATTTTTATTCCCACATTAGTAATTAACATGAAAGAAGCCAGTTTACAGGCATCATCACGTTGATACATGTCAAAAAATCTACAAGATCTTACGGGTCCTGAGTAGCACAGAGGAGAGGCCGTTTAACTCCATCAAAAACATCAGATCGCGGTTACGGGACAAAGAAAATACCACTTTCAGCATATGCAGTGCGTCAAAGGGAAAATAATAAAAATTCCCATTCCCATATGGTGGATTTGACATGGCAGATACCAGTTTACAAACGCCGTCAAAATGATTTTGAAAGTTCACAGAATAGTACCGAGAATTGTATAACCCACACAGCAAGTTATTGATATGCATAAACTTATTAAAACTTGGTGCAAATAAAAAGACGGGTATGGATTTCCATCTGTCACTACACAGATGGGTTCCACCATCAACGACAAAAGTGCGCAGTATTCGAAGTTTGCGTTATAACCGGACGGCCTTGCTAGCCCATTTGCACAGTTTCTTATTTAGTAATATAAACATCCATTCACTAGGACGTTCTTCAGTTTCCAGCCCTGCTAACCACAAAGGGCCTATTTATGCGATCTGGAGTATCAGTGAGTATCCACGGTAATGTAACCAAGGTGAGTGTCTGAATCCATGCATTTCCAGTTCACCATGTGGTTCCACCGAGAGTACTTCTAGTAGTAGATGAAGGTAGATGTTGAGACGGTTAGTAGTCCGAATGGCAGCAGTTATATATGGACTTCAGGTATCGTTCATAGTAGCGTAAGCAGCATCATTCTAGAAGTATATTCGGTGCGTGGTAGCCTTTACTTAAAAAGACCACCTGATACAGAGTGCTATAGAACATGTGGTGTGGAATTACTGCAAGTAGGTCATATTCCGAGCCAGTGGGTATATGGGTTTCTCGTTTGATCATTTGTTCAGAATATTTGTGCCACTATGGCTGTTGGGAAACTCTAGACGGCTCATCGCAGGAATATTCCTGACCAGCTGATGAGTCGACTGTGAAGATGTTCCAGAAACCGCGAAAGATTGGGAGCAGGTCAATAATTCATCGAGTTAAACAGCAGGTATTATTTCCACTTAGTAGGTATGTCCAGATTGAGATTCAGCACCAAATATCATCGTCCAGCTGTTACTGTAAAATAAAAAAGAAAGAAGAAGAACGAGCAGATGTGGGAAAGGGAATTACCACGCAGACTGGCTTGGAAAAGAGAGAAGGTCCTATGCTTTTAGACCTATCCGAACTTTATGTACACTTTCATGTATGTTTGTGTGATTTACCACATAGTTTTTCCATTATAAGATTCTTGAAACTTTTCTACACCAATGTATAGTAGTAGCTTTGGGAGGGAATCAGTGTACATAAGTTCATCGAAGTAGGGAGGGGAACCAGTGCTCACACCCTTGTAAGCAGTCGTCAGCCCATAAGTGTAGGAGGAACATGAGGGCTATAGTAGCTCTGCTTCATACGCTTAGAGGTCCAAGTATATCCTCATTAGCCCAGGATGCATAGATGATGGCTAATTGAGCGATAGACTTATCGTTCATTAGTAGCCTATTAAGTGAAGAACGGAAAAGTGTCAACCAGCTGCCGTACGAGTTTCTCCTGGAAGCCTGTCCCAAATGTGTGAGGATTTATTGAGGAAGAAATTATCTCGCAACCTCGTCGTAAAACACTCAGTTTCAACCAATACTTTGTGGCTGTGCATATCGTACGTAGATGTTCCAATTAGCTTGATTTGCGGACCATAAGAGTGCAAGTGCTGATGAAGTGACTCACAACAAAATATAAGGTTCAGTTTAAGTCTCCTCTTCCAGAGTGGTTCTAACACCAACATGTTACATCTGGATGCGTAGTCTAGATTACAGCCAGTTCCTAATGTTCTGAAGGTGAAGTAACGTTGTACCCCTTCAACTTTCAGTTTATCACTTCTATGGAGGCCACTGAGAATGAACCGGCAGCATTCTAAAGGCGGGCGAATGCACACTTTATGGGATAGAACCCGTGATTCAGTGCTATAAAAGTTACGAATGATACATCCCAAGAGTTCGCGTGACTTGGATCTGATATATGCTGTTTGTTCCGAGAATGTCAAGTCTCTGGGATACCTGGTGCCAAGATCTAACGCAGAAGCTTGTCTAGGTAGCTGTTTTCCGCACACCTCAAGGGTCAGGTCATGGTCGTCGTTGTTTATAGTAAGCCAACCGGGTTTGTCATTACCGAATTGAAGGTGGGACTTAGCGCGCCGTGATGCAAGTTTACTTAGTTCCTGTCGGGCGGTATCCAGAGTATTACGTAGTTCATGACAGTGACAATCTCACACAACCTTCAAGTCATCGGCGTATAGGAATGTTTTGCCTTCACTGAAGCAGTTACATACACTGCTGACATAAATTATGAACAACAAAGGCTCAAGGACACTACCCGTGTAACTCAGCCAGCTGTGTCTAGGTCCAGACTGCACGGGGTTTACTTTCACGATTTGAGCACGATCACTAAGAAATGACTTTATCCAACTAAGTAAGTGGTCACAAATGCCAGTTGATTGTAGCTTATTGAAGAGTACGTCATGAGACACCCTATCAAACACCTTTGATATATCAAAGTATAGAACAATGACGGTTACTAGTGATGAAGTTGAAGAAATCGAAGTTGCAGGTAACGCAGGACCTATTCTTTATGAAACCATGCTGAGAAGTTGTGTTTAGATTTTCTGTTAATAGGTAATCGGAGACCTTGCCTTTAATTACTTTTTCCATTATTCTAAAGAGGACTGGTGTTATGTTGATGCGTGTGAAATTATTGGCGTTCGCTTTGTCTCCGGAATTATAGCGAGGCGTTATGCAGCTAGTTTTCCACTTAGTGGGGTATACGCCAATTTCCAACAATAGGGTGAATATCTTAGGCAGAACAGAGACATATCGTCACCGCTGTTCCTCATAACAATTGAGCTTAGGTTGCCGATTCCCATACCTGTTGATAGTCGCACCTTCATGATAGCCTCCGTAATACTTTTGACAGTAAAATTCCCACTGGCGCATGAACCTGTGGTGAGCAGTGTAAAAGTGGTAGAGTTAAGCGCGATAGGACCGAATTTTGCGAGGGATTCGCTAAATAGTTCACAGATTTCGAGAGGATCGTTACAGACCATTCCGTTGTGTAATAAACAAGCTATGTCTCCCGATGCCTGCAAAAGTTTGTTGTATCCTA